TTAAGGAGTGGCTGGCGCACCCCGACATCGCCTTAGTGCCGCTCGAGCCCGGAGGGGGGGGGGGGCAGCCATGGTTCTAATTAGCGGTGCATCTCCACCCGTTCTAGCCCGTATCAGAGTACTCCCGTCACATCTATGTGTGAATGTAATACGTATTCTGACAGAACTCAGTTAAATACGGCCGGTGACTGAATTAAGTTCTCATAGGAAGGAGGGACAGAAAGTCGAAAAGACCAACAGTCCCTGGATGCCGATATCATTTGACCCAGAGCACGTTCACCCAGTCGCTCCGACGTGTTAAAGGCTGTTTCACTTCAGAAATTGCCAGCTTTATGACCATATCTTTTCTAAGCCAATATGCCTAGCTCGGATTTAAACAATTCTGCGCTAATGTAGTTACAAAACTCGTTTAAACTTCTTTTCCTCTTGACGCTCTTGTATTTTCGACTGTCGAAGTATGCAAGCAACTATGGCTTGGCTTGGTCACTAGCTGTTTTCAAGTATTGAACTGCAGTACATGGGAACTTGTCAATGGGCAGGCATATTTCCGCTTACTGTGATTTAATTTCACTGAAATGCACTACAAAATAGCCTAACTAGGTGATGAAGCTAGTTATTTACGACACGAAAACAACACGTACAATACAGTTTGCATTACTTTAAATATGCGTATAGGTAAACTGTTTTATCATCGGCACTTGACAAACATTCTGGGGTCTACAATTACATCAGCATTTAAGCTTTGGACTCTTGTTTCATTGATAAAACCACCTAAATGAAGGGTGATGTCAGATGTGATTTAACTAACTTAGGGGTGTATGAATCATGGCAGTGAACCTAAAAAAGACGGCCGCTATACATCCGGAGGCGTATTTCCTGAGAGTCAAACGTTATGAGGAAGTTCATCATGTTGGTTATATTTTATAAGCATATTTTAAGTCGCCTAATCCTGAATTGAATCTGAAAATAGTGACAGAATAACTAAGTTTGGGTATATTCGATCACGGATCTTTGTCAACATCCGTCATGATCGAATATACCGGATTTTTTTATTTTGCCATTATATTCAAATTCAATTGAGGATTCGGCCACATAAAATATGCTTATTTGTCTCAGGTCTGACTCACCGGAGAAGTTGAGAGACGGCGATGGAGTGACGAGAGGTGCCGCTCAGCTGTTCACGTGGGGACGGCGGCGCGCCAAGTGTGGGTACTGATCGCGGCGCCGGGGGGGGGGGCTCGGGGGGAGGGAGGAGCTGCAGAGTGGGAGAGGGTCGCCAGGCGGGTCACGTAACAGGCCGTGAACTGCCCTTGCCGACCATTGTACGTCGCAGTGACCGACGTTCGGTCGTTCGCTCGTGGTTCTTACCGGTTGGGCAATGTCGAACTGATTGAATCCATCCCGTCACTCAAACTCAATTGGCTTGTTCACAGGCTTCTAGAAACGTGCTTCAACTCAATCAGCAATCAACCCATCATATTCGTATCAGAATGTGAATCCGTTGAGCGCTTCACTTGCACCTCAGATGTTGTTAAGTCTAGTTTAGGGACGCTGGAAGTGTTTGTAACCGTGTTTGTTTTGCTGTGCTGATTTGGCGCACTTCGGCAGTGGTTCTGGACTGCACGGGCGGCGTGGAGGGCAACAAGCTCAGGCAGATGGTGATGGACGAGTCACTGGACATGGGGGTCGATATCATCATTGACCAGGGCAACGTCAAACAACCGGTAAGCGACGCAACGGAGCATATAACCCTAGCTTACCAGGGGATGGAAATTGGAGATGATGGTCATCTGATGCTCCCTTCCTTGTCACTGAATGAAATGAAGGGATAACCGGAACGGAAATATCCGTAACACCCTAAAAGAATCGGTCTGCCTCTGATGTATACGAGTTTGTTAACATTATTATATTCATTGTTTTTATGATTATGTTATATAATTTTATAATTGTTTTGTCCTGTTTGTCAGGTGTGCGACTCTCCGGAGTGGGAGGCGCCGACCGCGTTCTGGACGGTCGGTCTGAGCTGCAGTGTACTGTCGGTGGGCGGCCGGCTGGTCACACAACAGGCCGGTCTCCAGGTCAGTAAATGGGCTGTGTGTGTGGGGGGGGGGGTGATATTGTGGGTTCGGTACGGACGGAAATCTCATACGGATGGGGTTAAGCATGCTGGGAGTCCGGCAGAATCTGTCAGAGACGGGGTTCAACACAAACGATGGGAGAGGTTGCCGCTTATGGAGGTCTAATGCGAACGGTGGGGGTGACCAGGGTCTAAATTGGGCGGTGGGACGAGGGTGGTGGGTGTCCGGAATAGATGAGCGGTGAGACATGTCAAACGGTGAGATGTATCAGCGGAAATGGCGTAGCGATGGTGCTACATGTTAGGTAATTGTTAGTAATAGTAGCTCAACTCGTGCATAGTACCAATGGTTCGGAGCAATGCTATCGTGTTGAACCCTCTGAGTCTGATCAAACTTATGTAATTTCATGGGTCATGGGTAGCAAATTACGCAGAAAAGCTACCGAACTTTCTTTCGCTAGTCTGCGGCGCGGCATCTATCGTTGTACCGATATCGGGAAATCGGAGCACAGCCGCGGCTACTGATGCCATCTCCAGCTGTGGCGACTCTCGTCAGGCGCGGCCGGTACGCGGGCCTGCCCTGATGTACCCCGCCGATTGGAGGGACGCGGGGTCCGGGCCCAGCTGTCTGCTAGGGTTTCTAGCGGAAGACACCTGTAGCTGTTTGTCCAGTGGGTCTGAGGGGAGCGTATGGGTCGGTAGTGTGGGTGCCGCTGCCCCAGGGTGCTGTGTTTTGTCAGGTGTGGGTGGGGTGGGGTGCATGTCCCGACACCTCAGCCCGATAGCTGGGGATGGGTGTATCCCATGCGTGATTGTTCACCGGGTTTGGTGTTTATTTTGAACTTGATGGCATAACTGACACTTTGCATTTTCGAAGCCTTTGGTGACTCTCACTACCTGTCTATATTTTGTACAATGCATACATGCCAGGTGTATTTGCCGGTCTGTGCAGGTCTATGTGCCACTGCGGGTGCAGGTGTGCTGTGACCGGCATCTTTGCCTTCATTCTGTTCTCTGCCTATACCCGCACTTTGTGCCGTCTCTGCGAGTAACTGACTCCTCTCGAACTGCCCCTCTCAGGTGGAGCCTGCCGTGTCCCAGCGGCTGCTGCAGCGCTGCGCCTCGCTCAGTTTCCTGTTCGGCCAGGCGTGGCCGCTGGGCACCAAAACCCACGGCCGCTACCTGCACATTCTGCGGGACGTGGCCGAAAAGCTGCGGGATAACGCCATCAGGTCAGCAGGCCGGCCAGGGGCTCTGTGGGAGGGGAGGCACAAAGTGGGAACATACGCAAATTTGTGAGCGTTAGGCATGATAGTTCTGGCATCGGTTCGTTTTCTATAGTAATTGCAGCTAATTGTCAGAATTTGTTGTAAAATGTTTATGATGGTCTGAATGATGATTTTTTTATAAAAATATTTTCTTGGTATTTTCTTCAACGAGGCTCAACAAGATGTTCCATTAAGGAGATGCAGGTCAACTATTGTTTCAAAAGTTCAGCCGAATCCTTTCTGTTAGCAGACACTCCTCCACGCACCGACTAACCACTCGCGTCTTCCCCAGGCCGAACATCCACCACACGGTGGCGTTTTCTGAGGTGACAAACGCCTTGGAGCAGCTGAGGCCGGACCTGGTCGGCAACATTGTGGTAACGATGCGGTGAGCTGACCCGTGAACTACGTGGGATGGGGTGGAGTGTAACAGATGTAATCTGACGGCGAATGTGATAGACGCCACAGATGTGACTGATGGAGCGGATGGCATGTGTGATGGGTGTGATAGATATGGCGAGAATTTTACCGATCGTCGACCGCGCCGAAGCGAAGTCGGTTGGGGTAGATATTTATCGGTCTGTGCGCTGTGCGATGAGCTATTCCTGAGGAGCGTCGTCACCTTTACAATCCTCGCGTAGGGACGTAGCCGAATGACATGCTTTGTTGTATTGTATATTGTTGGTCACCAAAAATTGACGTTGGGTGGCGCTCTTGCGCGACACATAACCTGTGATTGGATGCGGGGCAGTAGCTTAGACATTACCTACATTTGGACTTTTGTGCCCCTGTGATCTGGCGTCGCTTTTATTGGCTATATTCTACGAATGAGACGGTGAGAGCCACTTCTTCGTCTTGTATTTGGATATTATTATTGCACAGTTTGTATTATTTTGCACTTATTTTAGAGTCGTGTATTATCATATAATGTATTCAGCGGTGTTTTGCCAAAAATAAAACACAATCCTGTGCTGAAGTGATGGTTTACAGTTAATAAGCAGCTGTTGGCTCGTAATCGGGGCTCATGGGTATCGGCTAACCTAATTCTTGGAACCCCGCAGCTCAGAAACGGTCTTATTAGACCGAAACGGCCATATCTAAAAGAAACGAACGACTAAATAAATAACAGCTTGTGTCTGGCAGGTCATAAGGGCAGGGAGTGGTATAAGAAACGCAACACGCACTTCCTTTTTGGCCCCGCGATCCTCTGATCGAGAAATGGATGCATGGAACGCCAAGGCTCTATTTTGATATACCCGGTAAGCGTGGAAAGGGGTAATACGGAAATACGAAAATGCGTTATGAAAAACAACAAACAAAACAAAAACGCACTAAAAACGCTGAAATACGTGGAATACGTGGAAACTGGAAAGCGACCCATGTGAAGTATTTTTGCAAATGTTGCAAAAATTTTGGTAGCCTGGATAGTAACTGAATGGCAGCAATCATTTTATGCTCCAAAAATAACGCTATTGCTTCAAAATAATGAAGCATTTGGCTGCTGATCACTGTTCGACAGTCAGCGTCAAGTCAGCGTTACCTAGCAACAGACTGCAAAAGTTCCTTTTTCGCTGTGGAACATGCAAGTTGCCAAGCAACCAGTCGTTTCATTGGACGGCGTTAGCTCTTTTCTTATTTTTCGAACACAGTCTCGCCTTACTCGCATATTTACTGCGGATGCGAAGATATCAATATTATTTGGCAATAGTTTGAAACAAAAAACATACCTAGGTACAGGGACCCGCAGTTGCTACTGTACACATATATTACCAATTTAGAATTGCGCTATTATTTGCTAAGTGCTGGCCATTGGAGAAAGAAAATGTAGCGCAAAGTATGGAGGAATAACACATGTTTGCTCCCAGCAAGTATGTTTTGTATAATTCCTCTTACCGCAACAGATATTCTTCCAAAACTACAATTGTGCTATTTTTCCGCGCCGGTTGCCTCCCCAGAGCCCGTCCTTGGTATCGCCTATAGCTTCCGTTCCCGCTACGTGAATGAAAGTCACGTGACTACTACAGGTTTGCGCTCAGTACTAACACACCTAGCCCGAGGGCCGGTCCGTAGCGGGGAGGGGTAGAACGCCTGAGCTCCAGCGCAGTGGAGGTGGTGGTGGCCCGTATCATAAAGAGGCAACCGTAAGCAGAACTACAATTGCCGCAGTATAAGATTATGGTCAAGTTTTCTTTAAATGTATTGATTGACAAGAAAGTGCAATGTTTATCCGATATAATAAAACGGTGTCCAAGGCCTTGGAAGAACTATAAAACATATTCAGCAACATATAAATTTCTGATACAGGCCATGACCTTTCACCTTGCCTCCGGGGAGGACCGCTCAGGAAGCCACATACCGAACGAATCGAGGCCTCGCAGCGCGGCGGCAGAGGAGGTGGATAAACCATCGCCAGATCTTTCGATTACTTATGTTTCCAGATGTGGAGGGGGGGGGGGGGGTGGAGGGGGTCTATTTTCAACCCACTCACCAATCCTTTCCTTATTAACTTATAGCTTACCGAAAAATGCAACACAATGGTGGCCGTCACGAGATGTAGCGAAGAGTGCCTCAGCCGGTTTTGAGTAAAGGTTTTGAGTACACCGGTTTTGAGTAAACTTTAAGCATTCGAATTCAGGCCAGTGATCCTGAAGCATTATTTTATTGTTGTCGTGCATAAGCTGGGATGACGTGGTCCAAGTTAATTGCGAAGAAACGGTTTTAGTTTCAGAACATTTATGAGGCTAGTCGCGCCAAATAGTATACGTTTGTTGTAAAATGTCAAATAGAATGTTGACGTGCTATCCAGATGATGGAATTTATTTGACACAAGAAGTCAAAAAGTGGCATCGTTAGTCATCCTGCATACCTATAAATCGATTCGTCACCTTGGTTCGAGCTCAATAGTTCTTTTCGCGGATGATCGGTTTCGTTTTCTTTTATTTGGGGGGGGGGGGACAGTTTATGAGCCAGTAACCACCCTCCCCAGCCCCCAAACAACAATTGTTGACAAATACTGTGATGGCCTAAAAAATGTCCTCAATTGTGTAACGTAGGGATGAATGAGGTAAGTTGAGCCGCTTTTGTTTTTCGTAAGCTACAGGCTAACTTACTGATCATTTTTCTGCGTTTACGGGTTGACGGACAGAGTGGTCATTGCGCATGTAATGGTGGCCAGAAATGTTTCATACCGCTTATTTTTGTACTGAAAGGCTACGTCAAAAATCATCTTGCACGTTGCTCATCTTACCCCATGGGCGGGGTAAGTTGAGACACGTCGTGAGGAAAGTTGAGCATGGATGGAAAAAGCGAACCTCTTCTTTTCCCGGGCGCGGCGAAGAGTGGGCTCTTTTATTTACTCCATGGCATACATACCTACTTATGGCAAAGTTTTTTTCCTCCATCAAAAAGTAACTGTTTTAAGCCTTCCAATAACTCGTCAAGTTTTCTATCACGGAAGAAATCATTTTATCCTTCAGATAATCTGCAAATCACTTACAACTTGTGTAATCAACAAAGAAAAACAAATTCCTACCATTTTTATTCAGCAGAAACAAGCGCAGCTCAGTTTGGTTTTCGACAGCGGAGACAACAATGGCTTATCCGGCTCATCTTCCCCCAGGTGAAAATGGCTCATCTTGCCCCACCCGTGGCCATTTTCGATTAATGACACCCGCTAAGGAAAATAACCATGCACCGCAGATAACAACAATCTCATTTTAAAGCCAAACATGTCTTAGTTATCAGGGGCGATACCACATGTTACCGGGTGCTGAGCGTGAGAACGTTGCCGTCTCACGTGAAAGACTGCAGCATCGTAAGCGAACGGCACATGGAAGCTCAAGTCAATCAGCGCCATAGGACTGCATAGGCGGCGGAACAGGGAGGGCATCGGGGCACCGTGCCCCACTTTGATTTTGGCATTTTAACATTAGCCCTATGGGCGTTGCATGGAAAGAATGGGACCAAAAGTCGGCAGTGCCCCCCCCCCCCCTTAATTGAAGGCGTTCCGCCGCTACTGCATAGGAGCTGCAAGAAACATGGGGTGGCTAAACTTGCGCCTTGGCTCATCTATACCTCACTCTCCCCTATTTGGGGCTCGCAACCTTGATTCGTTAAAGTTATTTGTCTGTTCATTATAAAAGCTGTCAAATTTGCCGTATCATTAAACTTTTATTGAGTTTGTATTTCACACTTATCTAAAATGAACAATTTTGTCACTGGCTTCTTTTATGAATGGAATTGGATGGTCGCATGAATGAACGAATGAATAGCTCCATTTGAGCATCAGCTGAAATCAATCCTAAAATTTAATCTACCAGTCTGCAACGAAAAGGTTTAAAAACCAAGTGTCTCATAGTTCCATAATCTTGAGCCGCTTCTCTCACGATTCATTTTATGTGGTGCTTACAAAGTTATATTATTCGAGCTCGTTGGTCTTAAAAACTGCTATCGAAGTAAATTAAAGTGTTTCGGGCTTCGGCACTTAAAAAGCAATCGATGTTTAAACCTCACCTATTTAGGCATTTCTTTTCAGCGTCTTACATGTAGCGGAGGGGCGTAGAAACCCTCAGCCATTCGGCCCTTGATAAAAAGAGCCAGAGCTTCGCTGAAAAATAAAAAAGAGCGTGTTGCTCGTGACGAGAGAAATCCGATGATTTGAGGGTCCGTCATCGCTGACGAGAAAAAGCCAATTATTTTTATGTCCTGGTCAATGCTGAGATCCTAGGTCACTGGTTGACCTCCCAGATCAGGTTAATAACCCAAAAGCACGGAAAATTGGGTCCTGCTAGAATTTCTACAAGTGAAGTTTGCTGGGACTTGGCTTGCTTCTGACTCCGAATTTGCACTTGCTTTGATCAAAGATGATGTATCAAAGCATTTGGGGTAGGACGGGTCACGCCAGATCACCCATTAGGCGTTCTGCCGGCTATATAGAATGTCAACCAGCACTTACAGCCTTGCAACATATTGCATAGGCACTATAACTGATACCTAAGTATGCCTAGTTTTCAAATGCTAAAATGGGTGCTAAATTTCAAACCAACACTTCCTAAAAAACACAGTAAAAAGGTGTAAATTTAAGGAAGTTAACCGAGATCATTTCAAGTAAATGACCTTAACCTGAGTTTCACGTGACCTTGGCACCCACAACAATTAATGAGACAAACATTAGATAATGTAGGTATTTCACTTGTTGTCACGTTGCTAATCACGAAACGACTATGGAAACACACAGAAGATGTGCGCTGACTTTCAATTGCTATTCTGGCCTGACATGATCTTGAGAAAAATAATCACAGGTTAAAGGTTATTTGGTTCAGGGATTTAAAATTCTCAGACAAGATGCAAAAATGATAAGGGCTATTTAATTTTCCGGGAAGTTGTAAAATTGATCAACTTCAGGGCACCAAAGAATCGTCGCAATCCTTCGCTTTGCCGCGATTTATTGGTGTAAAACAGCGGGCGCGGTCTACTTACATCTACCTATATGTGTGGTGAGGGCTAATATTCATTTCATCTGTGTTGATGAATGTGCAACAATTTCTATATGAACTGAGACCAGTCCATATGAGTATGTTTTTCTCACGGACAATGACAATATAAAAACAATGCGGATAAAACCAAACGTTTCGGACAACAACGTGCCTTCGTCAGTGGAGAAAAATGAGTGTATAGGTTTAACATCGATGAGAACTAAATGCGGCACCGTCTCGGTCTGGCCAGCCGGGCTGCCGATAAAATACACAAATGTTTATAAGCTTCCATGATGTGCTTAAAAACTGTTGAAAATATATCTTTAAAAAAATAAAGATAACTACTTCATCGACGTTATCGAAAGAAAACATGTATGCCTAATTACTTATTTCTTGCCACTGACGGAGGCACTTTTTTGTGCGAAACGGCTGGTTTTATTCGTATTGTTATTGTATTGTCATTCCCTGTGAGAAAAAAGGATAACTAGATTCAGTTAGTAACCATAACAGCGAAACGGCTTATTGTAACACAATTCACTGTGTATACGAAACCTATAAGTCCCTAAAATAATTATATTTACAACTTTTAAAAAGATACAGCTTATACAGCTTGGGCATACAATTTTTTCTGCATTAAGATAATATTAATTTATCTCCACAGAATATGGTAAATTAATGCTGCTGAAGTTCGCTTTCGAAGCGTCTCCTCCAGGCATTCCACAGCTCTCGTGCCATTTTGGATCACGGAACATGGCTGGGCGCAGGACAGGTCAGGTCGTCTGCGAGCTTGGACGGACCACGTGACCACCTCCTCCACTCCCCCTCACTCCCGTCCCCTTCCCCAGCAGGGCGTCCGATCTAACCGCGCCCCAGGCAGTCGGCTCGGTCCGACCCTCCCCATGGTCGAGCCACGGCCCGGTGCCGCCTGAGTTTGTGCCGGGTGCAAGACTGGAGCAGTAACTAGCGCCGGAACTAGTAGTCAGCACGACCATCGTCAGATGGCAGGAGTAAATGGAATAAGCGGTTCCAGGTTTCAGAAGGAATGGGGCGAATGGGGCAGGAAAAACCGCTGAAAACAATGTTTTGCTGATATAGCCATAAAAAGTTCACTGAATTAGGAGAGCAGCACATCAGTTTAAAGCCCTTCAGATGGTGGTTTTAATAAGCACACAATCATTTCCCAATTCGCCTCCAACGGTGTCACAGGCAAAGAATACGCTGAAATACTAGTGTGTACAGAAGCAACTGCGGGTCCCTGTACCTTACCGTGTATGATATAAATAATGCTAATGAAAATAGCACAGAAAATTATCATAACATGTGATAAACATTTGACATTTGACATTTGATAATGTCAAAAAGGCCCTCAATTAGAAGGTTTTCCTGCTTCCTGCTCAAAACACTCAGTGTCGTGGTCTTCCCATGGTCTTGGTTAGATTCAGCAAAATTTGTTTAGTAAAAGTCATGAAACAATGAAAATACAGACTTTTATGTCACTATTATGACTTTTATGATGTATCCAAATGAAGATTGTCAATACTAGTCTGAATTTACTTTTCCATTCCCAGTAGGTAGGTAACATTGAAACCTATGTCCCAAAAGTAACGAGATGATTTAAAATGGAAATATCTTGAGAAGTAAGAATGTGAATGACTTCAAATTTTAGCATGTGCAAGCTACATTCATAAAATTGTTTCTTGCTGCTTGCATGTGTAAATCATTTTTGATAATGACTACACCGGTCATCAGGCAGTAAGCAGAAAACTGAAGTTTCACCTACAGCATGTATACTTGGCCCCGACTGGAAAAAATGCCTCCACTACGCTGAAGTTCTCGGCGGAGGTGATGCGCCGAAATTTCGGCGCAAGGGTTTATGCGCCGAAATTATTTTACCAAGCCATGCTTCATGCGCCGAAAATTTTCAAGGCTTACTGATGGCTGCAGGCTGTAGCCACCCACTTTTCGTCGAGGTGGGGGGGGGGGGGCTGGCGTGTGTGTGTGGCTGTCTTCTGTCTTCCAGTGACTACTGTCTACAGACGGTTGTTGGCACGGTCGACGGGATCGGGCAGACAATAGACATCAGCAGGCCATGCGGGACCGAGCACCAGCGTTCGCTATCACAATTCACAAAATCTCCTGACTCACAAACTCACTGGCATGTTCCATAACATAACCTTTATTTTGTTGCCCGGCTCTGATCAGCAGTAGTGCCCAGCCGGTGACTGACGCCTGACGGGGCCTTCAACAGGCGTGGTGCAAGCACGGCCGATGGGATCGGGCAGATACCAGGCCATGCGGGACCGATTGCCGGCGTCCGCTCACAAACCACACGCCGGAAATACAGGAATCACAACGGTCAATACGCACACGATAGCATACGTTATCTGAACTAGGGGATCCGACAATCCATAACCTCACTCTCGATCGGTGAACTGTTCCCGCCGTGGGAGAGTCACAATCAGGTTCACTGAACATGACTTAAATACCCTGAGACGAACACGTCACGAGACAAGATAAGTGACATTTAAGATGTTTAACTCCCGAAGACATTTAACCCTCGCCGGCCGAGGGGGTTGGTGCCTCCCCCCTGACGGTTTTTTTCGCGACTGCTCCAGAGCCGTTTGCGATAGAGAGATAGAGAAAACTGTTGCGTCGGGCGAGGGTTAACTTTACATGGTCCCAGGTATGGCTGTTGTAATTGGCCAAAAATAATAAAATAAATGAGGGTCATGCAATTTGAGAGCCTGAACTTCTGTGTTGTCCCACCGTCCGCCATATACGAATATACGAGGTGCACTCCAGAAGTTTTGAGACTTTTTCATTAGAGACAGTTAGTTGTTTCAGAAAAGCTTGAAACTTCATTGACTCTCGAAATGAGACCTCCCGAGTTCAATACACTTGTTGTAGCGCTCCGATCACTTCCTGAAGGCCCGCTGCTAGTCCTTCAAAGTGAAGGTGCCCAGGGGCAGGGCCTTTGTCACAGCCTCATTCATCTCCTCCACATCCTCCAACCGTCGTCCCCTGAGCTTCTCTGTCGGTCTGGGGAACATCCAGAAGACATAGATGGCCAGATCTGGACTGTGGGGAGGATGAGGGACAGTTTTGATGCCCATCTGTGTTAGTAAGCTCGTCACCATGATGGACGTGTGGGTGGGTGCGTTGTCCTGGTGCAGGTGCCCCTGGCCAAATTTGAAGAGTTCCGACTTCCGGTCTCTTGTGGCGAATTCCCTTGCTCAACTCCCGCAAAACTTTCAGGAACCATTCCTTGTTAATCATCTGGCCGAGCACGGGACCCAGCTATTGAATATAATGCCTTTTTGTCAAAATACGGGATTATTATGAGCTTCCCAGTGGACCTGCTCTGTCTGGCTTTCTTGGGTCTGGGGGAGTCAGTGTGCTTCCATTGAACACTTTGTCTCTTAGTGTCTGGATCGGTAAAAATACACCCAGGTTTCGTCTCAAGTCACTGAAGAGTCAATTTTAAATGTTTCTGGGGTATTTTTATCAAGCTAATCACAAAACTGTATTGCCTTGCGACCCTCAAAGTCGTCCTCACATGTGAGGACACTAACAGCCTGACCATGCTGTACATTGGTCACTGTGACAAGCCGCGTGTGACTTGCCGTGTTCAGGGTGATGCCCTAGCCGTCTCTTGCAACGTAGAAAAACAAGATTATGCAAGTACGTTTATGACAACTGTGGTAAGGACATATGAAAGCGACAAGAATCTAGCACTGTTAATAGGGCTTTTACGAGGGCAGTTTCAAAACTTCTGGAGTGGACGACGTAGCTCATCGCGCAGTCACGGTGAGATTTTTTATTTGTTTGGAACTCTGGGAGCATACGAATACGGCCGGAAGCACTGGATCAAGGCGAAATTTCGGCGCAGGCTTATTTACGCCGAAGTGCGCCGACATTTTCGGCGCAAGCCGTCGATTTACGCCGAAGTACGCCGAAAATTTCGGCGCAAGCCGTCGATTTACGCCGAAGTACGCCGAAAATTTTCGGCGCAAACGCCCAACTACGCTCGAGTTCTCGACGAAAGCGTGCATTTTTCCAGTCGGGTACTTGGCCCCCCGTCCTTCGAGGTCCTGAGCCCTGAGGTTGACAGCTGGAATTCGGTGTTGAAAAAACCAAGAGAGGTGGCTGAGAGTTCTCCACTGGTTCTTTGGCTTGGCTGCAGCGCAGCTGTGCCGACACCATCAACCAGCAGTGGCTTCAGCAGAATGGAGAGCATGCTTGCACTGTCCTAAAGACCATGTGTTGTCTCCGAGAGTGGTTGTGAATTGTGAAATTGGGTAATTTTCAGGGGGCACAGCCATCATATGGCTTCTGTGGTCACCTGACTTACACCTCTATATCTTTATTATCTGGGTACACACTATGAGTACACATTGAAGAGTTTGTCATTGAGGACAACCCAGCGAGCCAGGAAGAGCTAGAGAATGAGCCATCTGACTAAACATAAGCTAAGCGGAATCTCACTAGACGAGAGGATTGCCCCAGAATGGTGGAGGAAGTCAAATGCAGTATATTCATGCACAAAACCCAAAATTGAAGCTATGCAGAAAAATGTAAATGTGTGGCTACAAACAAATATTCTGACTCATTTATATCATAACAAAATTTTTATAAAATGTTCTATAATCTCTTAATGTTCTTACCTACCTGAAACCTGCATATTTACAACATACAACCTACTAGTGGGTAACCTACTCAGTACCCACATACAACCTTCTGTTTAAATTCTGCTGCATTATAGTTTTTTTTTCATTTTCAGCTCTTCTCTGGCACTCCGGACAGAACTAGCCTTTGGCTTTGGTTCTACACTCTACCATCCTGGGCGCTGTTTGGTCGCAGTTTTTTATCAGCAGGCTGCGAGCATGCTGCTGTTTCTTGGCCCCTCATTGGTCAAACTCATGTGGCCTATTCATTTGACCAATGAAAGGCCAAGAATCACCAGCATAACTTCCTTATATGGGAAAACCGACAGCTTGCTGATAAAAAACAGCGACCGAACAGAGCTCTGGTTGTAATAGCTGTGCTGCAGTGGTCTTGCTCCCCGTGTTGTTTTGTGAATGTGGACGACGGTGCTTATATCTTATTATCTACCTGTTTCAGAATCTGATCAAGTGATCAAGTGACAAAGCTTCAATCATGGCAGACGAAGAGGACCTTTATGAATTTGATGCATCCATCGACCAATCAGAGATGGAAAATGATGCTGATTTTCAGCAGGCTTTGAAAACCAGCACTGGAAAACGGCCCACGGTGCGTATTTAACCGCTTTATCTTAATTTCTTATTCCCTAAACCTTTGTCATTCTTGAACTGCATCCTGGCGATCAGATGACTGAGTTTTCTACACTAGAGAGTAGTTAGCACCATTTCCAAACATAGGATTCTCTTATAGGTAACTATGACACACCCTGATCCACAGACGACGGCTCGACTGGCCACCGGTATGGCCGGAAACCGTCCGGGCACACAGGCCCGCGCCGGACTGCGGACCGGCGCGCCGCCCGGCACGGCTGGGGTGAGTCGGCGATGGGGCTGCTCGGGCTGGGTACTGGGCAGGCTTAGGGACTTTTGTCTTAAGAGGGAATGGAGGAGAGAAGGCGTTTCGCACGATAAAAATGGTTGTCATCGGAGATACTGGGATGTCGTGAGATAAAAACGTAGAAGTTCTATAAACATTCATGGGATAAGCTGTTACAATAAAAGAAGGCTACGCTTACCCAGGCTATGCTTAAAGAAGGCTATGCTTACAATGCAGATGCGCGATCATCTTGCCAATGATTCGTAGACTTAATGAAGCTTCGACTGGTCGCCATTTTCCATCATCCATCGCTCCCCATGTTTGCCGGCGTCTGTCTGAATACCGAGTGGCCATGTACCGCTGCGGCCACATGTGACCGATGACGCCGTGCCGCCGATGACGCACAGGTGCGCGGGATGACGGCGGCGGTCCGCACCAGCTCCACGGGCGACAGCCGGCCGATGACGGCCGTCAAAGGCGCCGGCTACTCCTCCGGCGCCGGCACACCCGGGCTGGAGAGCACCAAACCCGTGCTGGAGACACAGAAACCCGAGACGTACGTAGTGCTACGCTCGCGGCTCGGCAGTGGCTCAGGGCGGCGACTAGATGTGTTTAGGTTGAGATAATAGTCCCGACAAGAAGATGCTCCAACTAGAGGTGATAACCCTGTTTAATAACCCTCTATTTCCTCTCTTACCCCTGCAGTCCCGAGGAGAAGATCCGCCAGCTGGAGGTGATGACCATGGATCTGATCGAGGAGTCGTGTCTGGCCAGCTGCCGGAACGAAGGTAAACTGGCGCTGGACAAGGCCAAGGAGGCGTCCACCAAGGAGCGCACGCTGATCCGACAACGCGACCAGGCCGGTCTCAGCGAGCAGCACAACATGGAGCTCACCTTTGTGGTGAGTGGCGAGCGGAAGCGAGGGGCGGCTGAGATGTGAGCGGGTGGAACATAAGTGTATAAAGCCGGTACGAGTCTGTTTTTGACTGTATTCGTGCTACTGCTCAGCTAACAAACTGGTGAAGGCTAAGCTGAGAAGGTCCCATTTAACCCATTGTCTGGCTTGTGCCTAACTGTGCTATGTTTATCTTTTGTTTTCATTGTCACAGGTTTTGACGAACTTGGCGAGCCAGTACGCCAAGAATGAGCTGTACACCGAAGCTCTGAACACATACAATGTCATCACCAAGAACAAGAGTTTCAACAACCCCGGTCGGCTGAAGGTGAACATGGGCAACATCTACTACAAGATGGAGGAGTACCCCAAGGCACTCAAGTTCTATAGGATGGCGCTCGATCAAGTGCCCAGCGGACAAAACTCGACGAAGTAAGCACATTTCATAGGTAAAGAGGTAGAGATACAGAGGTGAATCATGTCGGTCCATCTGCGTAGTACGAAGTAGAGTGCAGTAAATCTTGGCACACTTCATTACGAGATGAAATTGCTGATTGCTGAGATGTCCCGTTTTGGTCCATTACCTTCACCCCATCCTTTATCCACCTGACAGGATAAAGATAATGCACAACATTGGCATCCTGTTTGTGAAGATGGGGCGGTACAAGGACGCCATTACCAGCTTCGAGTACTGTATGCACGAGAAGGCCTCGTTCCGCACAGGTCTGTGTGTACTGTACAGTCATGCTAGTTCGCACAGGTCCATGTGCTGCCGGGTATACCCGTGGGCTACGTGTAGTCGCTCGCCGAGAAGGCGGTTTTTCATGGTTCAACGCTTTACTGCATGTCTGCATTTTGTTGTGCAGTTGCTGTTAGGCATTCTTGTTTTCACTGGTGTTGTTGGAGGGATTTAAGTAGTACCGGTGTCAGCAATGTGGTGGTGTTTATTTGCTCGTAATTCCTGCATCGCGTAAAACTGCATGCATGATGGGCAATGGCCGTGCTATAACACCGAATTAATTTGATGATATCTGTTCGGCAAAACTTCCCAACTTTGAACGGTTTGCTAAAGGCATCTATCCCTGTGGTGGCTCTTGCTGTGTGAATTGCTGATCCCTGCTTGCTGGGAATTTCTTGAACCGAACGGGGTACTCTGGGTGCAGTCTTGGTTTATCAGCCGTCGTCATTACGGTGGCCCTCACCAGTTCGGCAGTTCTAACTTGATGAGTGCAGCACCGCACTGACACCATTGCAGGCCTGCACCTGGTGGTCTGCTACCAGGCTCTGGGCGAGCGACAGAAACAGCGAGATGCCTTCGAGAAGCTACTCCAAGTGCCGTTTGATATGGACAAGGAGGACCATTACAAAGACCTGGAAGTATGTGTCTTGACGTCGTGCACGGAATGACGTCTGCTGGTTTGCTCTTTCAGCAGAACTAACCTAGTATCCCCGAAAACCAGCTTTCTTTCCAAACATTACAAACTAACGTCCTTTCTTCTTCCCTTTCTTTGATCGCCTTTGTCCGCTCATTTGTCTCCAATAATATCCATCTATCCGGCTGCCTCCGGCGTTAAACCACATTCCCTGATGCCCATACGTCGTTGCCTCCTGTTGGACCACATGTCACCCCTTGCCTAACACGTTCTCCCGGTCGCCCGCCAGGAGGAGGCTGAGAAGGACCCGCAGACGGCCCTGGTCGTGGAGGTGATAAAAAACGACCCGATGCGGAAACAGGAGCGGCGTCTGCGCAACGAGGCCGAACAGTGCATCCTGACGGCGTCCAAACTGATCTCCACGACCGGGGACACGCCCGCCGAGGTCTCCGAGTCCTACGACTGGTCAGTGGCGCCGTGGTAGGGTCGGAATATATTATGTTGTGGGAAGAATGATCGTATATGGAGAGCGTGATCTTCATGCCCTGCATGGCTGCCGCATGCTATAACTATAGACATACGAGTAGACCGGCTATAATACACTGTCACGTCTTTATGGACGACTTCTTATTAAATTGCCCGTCACAATATCTGTTGACTTTTAGCTGTAAATATTTGCACTTTGCAGTAGGTCCAGACGATGGTTCTATACCTACATGTTTCACCTCTCGTCGTCAGGTGTCTGGAGACGCTGAAGAACTCTCAGCACGCCGACCTGGCCAGCGATCTGGAAATCAACAAGGCCATCATGTACCTGCGCCGCAAGGACTTTAAGGCGGCCATCGACACGCTGCGGGTGTTTGACAAGGTGGAGACCAAGGTGGCGTCGCACGCCTTCACCAACCTGGCCTTCCTCTACTTCCTGGTCAGTAGTCTGAGCGGCAGTGTCACTGGGTAGGTCAGTGGTAGTCAGTAGATCCGCCTAGCATCACAATAGCGCGACGGCGAGTGGGATGGGCAAGGTGCGTTAGTCGGGGCGGGTCGAATGGTGATGAGTTTTGGTAGTGAGCATATTGGGCTTTAAACATGTATTTGGTAAAGTAATTAAGGCCATGGTTCGGCTAGTTTCATCATCGATAAAACTTACGATTTCTGTCGTTTGTTTTCACAACCTTTACCTCTAGGCCCGACGAGAATCACTCGCCAATCACCCCGGTCCCGACTCTGACTAACCCTCTGCCCGCCTTCACAGCGGAAGGAGTTTGAAGAGGCCGAGCGGTACGCAGTGCAGGCGAGGGACGCCGACGGCTACAACGCGCCGGCACTGGTCAACCTGGGCAACTGCTGTCTGCAGCGCGGCGACCTGCAGAAGGCCAAGGAGTACTACATCTGCGCGCTGGACAACGACGCCTCCTGTGTGCAGGCGCTTTACAACCTCGGTACGGAGCGGCTTCCAGGTTGGGGCGGGCAGAGCAGAAGAGGGAAATATGTGGGTATCGTCATTCTTCCATATCAGAACCCTTTTGCATGTGTTTATTAAGCGTCGACTTGGTTCTAGAAAATAATGAAATAATGCACTTGTCACAGAGACCTGAAGCTTTTGACAAAATCGTGTCGTTTGTTGAGCAGTAGGTAAATGTTGCCATTTTGAACAGTAGTCTTAATGTGCCTGCTTTGCTAGATGCTAATAAAGGGAGAGAGATGTGATATGAATCAGTTTTCCATCACATGGTTGTCCCGTGGCTGAAATCCAGCGAATAGGAAGTAATCCCCATTTCGCTGTAACCAACGCTTCCCTCTGCGATCTCCCGGCCGCAGGTCTGGTGGACAAGCAGCTGCGTCTGTACGCCGACGCCAAGGCCTCGTTCGAGAAGCTGCACCTGATCGTGCGCTCGCATCCGCAGATCATCTACCAGATCGCCAGCTGCTACGAGCTGCTCGGGGACGTCGACCAGGCTACCGAGTGGTGCGTGCCACTGTGGATGGGGTGGTGCGGGGTGGGTCGGTGGGGGAATGTAGCAGTGGTAGTGGATGGCAGTTTGTAGAGTGGAGTGGGGTAGGTTTTAACGTTCCCCGTGCCCTATCCACCGATATACTTTCAGACTGAAAGCTAACGCACGGTAGGTAGATGGCAGCACAATTCATTGATCGTGCGTAGCGAATTTCTTATCGTTTTCGTCTACGACTCTCGTCTGGCCACGCTATCCCTGCATATGGTTCCGTACTAGCTGGCGATGTGTCCGCATCAGTCTGTGTAGTGCTTGCTCTGTGTCGCCATTCCCAGGTACGTTCAGATGCTGAGTCTGGTGCCCACCGACCCGGACACGCTGTTCCACACCCGTCCCTTCCCAGCCGTCACTTCGTATCGATCTGTAGCTCAGTGGTCGCTCCGTGTCGCTGCAGGTACGTCCAGATGCTGAGTCTGGTGCCGACCGACCCGGACACCCTGTTCCACCTCGGAGGTCTGTTTGACCGAGAGGGCGACAAACAGGGGGCCTACCAGTACTTCTTCGATGTGAGTACACGCGAGCTGCAGTCGGATTATCTGCCATTGACGCTCATACTGTACCAGGCAGAGTAAATTTTAGACGTGTTGGCAGTCATCAAACTGCATGCAAAAAAAAAAAAAAAACTTGCCTCCGGATTAAATATATTTTTCGGTATGCATGCGCGCAACCCAACAAATCCGACATGAATATGTGTTTGCATTCTGACGGTATTTACAAATTTACCTCAAAATATGCATGATTTGAGCTTAAAACTTGATGAACCGTGATTGACGTCCCTCTGAAGTTTTGACTTGAAAACGTATAATTCCACAAATAATTTCTATATAACTTCTTTTTGCCCCCTGAAAATCTGAAATTTTTCCGAATCCTATAGGCTTCAGATGATGGTGAACTTTTATCGCATTGTGATTTCCGCGTGTGTGTTGAACTATCAAGTGTTCCTTACGTGCACATTACAACATGCATGATTGACTCTATCGTGCAATGGATCATTGGTGAAACTGGAACCGTAATAAACAGCCAACCTCAGCGCGGCTGGCGGTTCGAGTTTGTAATTTTTCCGGTCACATGCTCCTACAGACCCCGTGACCCCGCCCATGACCTTTGCCCTCGCCCCTGACCCTGTGCCAAGTATGTATACACTGGCGCACAGATCTGTGGGCCAGAACTTACGGCGCACAGTCGCCCCATCTGCTCCTGCTGAGACCGGAACGGTAGTGTTATATAAGTCGCGCTATCACAAATTATACAGATTGTGGTCATGATAGAAGTTATCACATGCTCATCAAGGAGTACTCCGAAATATTCTGCTTTGCGATGAAGGCATTTGTCTCTATAGTGACGGCGATGTTCCGCCAGAATTTTCACCACAAACTAACTGTACACTTCCACGGTCCTTATTTCATGCCAGCCGTTACCTCGCATGGACCAATCGTACCTCACGACAGCATTATCATTACCAAGGGAATGACATTGATAAATAGTTTTATTCATGCAGAAGTTTGCTGATGCCTCTAAAGTTCTGCGTTCTTCAGCATATATTCAGGTTGCGAAGTGTACTACGTTTTCTATGAAACATCCGGACCCTAAAGCAGCACAGAATATTGCGTCGTAAGGATAATGTTTGCGCCAAGTTCAAGGCCAAATGTTGACCTGGGCCTCGTCCTCTGCCAAACGACCTCGTGTTGAGTATATTTCAATCGCTGAGGCGTGGGGGCTCAACTCGTAGCACTTGTGTACGTTTTGAAACTCAGATGAATTGCTCTTAGGTGGAGGTGATCTGACACAAGGCCCATCTGACCTTGCCGGCTTGAATTTGGGCATCTCGATTAAAAAACTGAATATTTAAGATTTGGTGATATAGATGAAAATAATGAGATGGAGAAATCAGATGGAAGAAATTGCTTTGCAGTCTTTGTGCGACAATTGTCCTTTCCTCCCTCGAGATGCTGGACCTAGACAGCAGAGCTAAGACACGGAAAGCGTCATCAAAACCCATTCAAAACCACTTATTATGGAAACGTCACAGCTACCTACCTTCCGTGTAAATTTCTTCGTAATTTTGTTGCGTTTATTATGTTTTCCATATTTCGTCGATCAGTTGTAAGAAGTCAAAATGTTGGCGTCTGGCTATACTTCCCAACATCACATTCAAGTAGATAGTTGAAAAAGGTTTGAAAAGACTTTTTATGGTTTGCGCTTTTGCCTATATTTTGAGCATCCTCTGCGTGTTAATTTTGCGCTCAAGTGGACTAAAACTTAATATTTACAAACATCTCCAGTGAAACGGATTCACCGGACAAACACAAACAGTCCCCCAGACTGCATTCCTGTCCACCCGCCTGCATTCCTGTCCACCCGCCTGCATTCCTGTCCACCCGCCTGCATTCCTGTCCACCCGCCTGCATTCCTGTCCACCCGCCTGCATTCCTGTCCACCCGCCTGCATTCCTGTCCACCCGCCTGCATTCCTGTCCACCCGCCTTCCTCCTGTCGGTGCCGTCTGGGCGCAGACGTCACCGCTTTGGCCGGCGGCGCTGGCACAGCCCGCCCGTCCCTGACCTTTACCATCGCGTCCGCCAGTCGTCGCGCTTCTACCCGTCGAACCTGGAGGTGATCGACTGGCTGGGCTCCTACTTCATCGAGCACCAGGTCTCCGAGAAGGCCATCATGTTCTTCGAGCGCGCCGCGCTCATCCAGCCGGCCGAGGTCAAGTGGCTGCTGATGGTGGCGTCGTGCTACCGGCGCGCCGGCAACTACCAGCGCGCGCTGGCCAAGTACAAGGAGATCCACATGAAGTTCCCCGACAATGTCGAGTGTGAGTGTGTCCGGCTCGCCGGGGCCCGTCTGGGGCGGCCAGCGGCGGAGGCAGCGGCGGCGGCGGCGGGCGGCGCGGACCGGTCCGCCCGGCGCCGGCGGCGGGGGCCGCCCGGGCGTCTGCACGGACCGCCCGTGCGCGGCCGCTCTATTTATGTTTGCCGGCCGGCCAGACACGCGGCGGCGGGGGGCGTGGCGATGATGCAATCCGGCGGCGGCGGCGGCGGCGGCGGTTATTTCGAGGCGCCGCGCCGGGCCGCCGCCGCCAGTGATGAGTCAGGGGCACGGCGTTTCCGGGCAGCGCCGCCTAGACGCCGCCGCCGCACGGGGAGCGGGACGGACGCGACCCGGTCAGCGCCCTGTCGCCGCCGCCGGACCCGGGACGGGGAGCGGGACGGGACCCGGAACGGGGAGCGGGACGGGACCCGTCACATGGACCGCGTCCGGCTGCTTCTCACAGACTGGGGAGCTCAAACCTTGCAGGTTGTTGATGACAATTTTTAACGATTCACGTCCGTGACGATTCTCCGCCAGGGTTTGTAAATCAAAGATTAGATTTGGTACATCTTTGATTTTAACTGGCTGTTTATGTTCCAGTAGGAACTTCCTACTACGCTGCTTGACTGGTCAGGCATACAAACTCTGCGATATATTGCGACAGTATGCCCTACTTCAGAGTGCTATACGCCTGTGATAATATGTCCCCTCCGTCACACCCTCGCCGGTGATACGCAACGTGCGTCAGGATGGATGGAATCTCGGGTCTTCGGGCTGTCTTATACATTATACCTTGGGTTATCTGCTGCGGGGCGGTCTGGTACCTTGCATGGTGCGCGGCCTGATATACATCTTCCACGCTGTCCGTCGGTCTATGACGTGTGCTGTGGATTTTCCGTCTGTCTGCTGACGTACCACCCCCTGCACCTCCCCTGACGGCTCTGTCCACCCACTCTGCGACAGGCCTGAAGTTCCTGGTGCGTATCTGCACTGACCTCGGCCTAAAGGAGGCCGCAGACTATTCCATCGAGCTGAAGAAGGCCGAAAAGTCCAAGGAGATGCGGGATGAACGCATGAAGGGAAAGCCAGGCAGTGAGTATGACGTATGCCTATTTACGGAGTGGTGACTGTGGGGTCTGTTCAGTTGAGATGGTATCGTCGCTCGCCGTTTTTCTTGTGTATGTGATTGTTTTATTTTTGGAGATGCCTTCAGGATATTCGGCTGAGACCGGTTTTTGTTGATAATGGATGCATATTGCATATTTCACTCTCATTAATTTTATCATAATTAAGGGTCGCAGTAACCATGCTAAAATGGTAAATGTTGTTTTTGACGATAACTGTACGTCTAATTGGCATATTTAAATATCAACTATAATATTGCGATATTGAGTTAACGTTTTTGGGTGAAACTGGCAATTTTTTCCAAGCTATAACTGAGTCGTGACTTTCTCATTTTTGATTGATTTAACCGGCAGCAATACCACACATCTCGTGTCATTCGTCAAAATATTTTTGCATTCCATCAACTTGCCAAGCTCCTAAACACACTACAGAGTAAATATTGAGCTAAGGGCATGTCTTACAGTCAATTTACAATGGGGCCCCGCTGTAGATCAAGCATTATCGACTTCTTTGATTCGAATGCTGTGGATTCGAAAGTATATGAGAAACGGATGCGTGAAATAAGCTGTAATGCATGGAAATAAACGAACGCGTAAATAAACGAAAGCGCGTTTCAAATAGGGTGCGCTGAAAATTTACGTAATTTACTGGGCTAAATGGTTTCGCTTATCTATTCCGTTGTGTCATATCACGCTCCAATCTGGCTGTTTGTCGTGTCGCGCCTCTCCCCGCCCCGATGTTAGGTACCGTATCTGCAATACTGACACACCACGTGTTCCGACAGCGTCGTACCGGGGCAGCTCGGGCCGCGGCGGCTCCGACTCCAGTCTGGGCGGCAGTCGGCCGGGCTCGGCGGCCGCCCCCGCCCCCGCCGCCGCCGCCGCCGCGGATGGGCCGACGCCCCAACAGCAGGAGGAGATCGGTGAGTGGCCCGGCGGACCGTCCGATCGGTGACTCGGCAGGTGTTCGTTTGCCTGGAGGGTTAGTCCTTAGCCAGGATTGCGCTATCTGGAAAGTAACGTTACGTAGGTAATGCTACCGATGATTGGTGGTGAATCGTTGCTCAATGTGAGGCCAAACCCGGTCTTTGTATAGGTCGAAACAGTGACCGGCAGGCATCGGTAGGATTGTGATTGCAGGATTGCAAAATCCTGATTGCATTCCTTTTTGGTGGATTGCACCTGGATTTGAAATCCATTAAAAAAAACAGGATTTGATTGCGGATTGGATTGCATCATATTTCCAATTTTTGCAATCCAATCCGGATTGTGTTTGATAAGTGCTTTGAAATGGTTTGTTGCGATTGAAAATTATGAGATCGGCTTCATCGGCTTAATGTACTTTGCTATCAAGGGCTTTACATCGAAACTTGAAATAATTTAAACGCTTTTAATTTAAACGCTCAAAATAATATACGCTGATGAACTACATAGGAAGGGCAAAATTACGTATTTGAGGGCGAGTTTTAAAAATATAAAACACTGGTTGGGTAGAGGTTTAAATGTGGGGGTGTTTGACGCAAAAAATATTTCCCATAAAATACCTGTGCCTTAGATAGGAATTACTCGCAAGACTAGGTACTAGAAATGGGTGATTTGGGGATGGAGGCACGGCCATATGCCCCCCTCCCTCCCTAGACTAGGTACTAGAAATGGGTGATTTGGGGATGGAGGCACGGCCATATGCCCCCCTCCCTCCCTAGACTAGGTACTAGAAATGGGTGATTTGGGGATGGAGGCACGGCCATATGCCCCCCTCCCTCCCCCAGATCCACTAGTGCACATAATGATACAACAGGATTGCAAAAAAGGATTGCGGATTTGATCACAATCCAAGTGAAAAAAGGGGATTGCGGGTAGGAATGCAATCCACTTCGGCACAAGGAATGTGGATTGGGAATGCAAACCTTTCAAAAAGGATTTTCCCGATGCCTGGTGACCGGTAATGGATGATGTGGTCGAGCGATGGCCAACTCTCGTTTCGTAACTTGACGGTATGGAATCAGTTTGAATGTGTCAAACATTTTTTTAGCCTTAATCTCGGTACAATGGTGTATGCCTTATTTGATTTGATCCAGTTCTTCATTTAAATGTGTTGGTGCGATCTTCAAGCATTTTATTGTCCCGACTGGCGACTATATATTTTGAATGACACTGCTGGCACTAGATGTGTTTCCTCATTAACCTCATTCGTGGAAGATAATTGCTTGTTATGCAGCCAGCGCATTGTCCCGTACTCTCACGTGTGACACCTGCCTCGCCCACCCGTGCGCCCGCAGACGCCCGCTACAAGGACCCGCTGGGCCCGATGAAGCAGCGAATGGCCAAGGACGGTAAGAACGAGGACGACTGGGACGACGACCTGGACGACGACATGCTGCCGGAGTAGCTGCCGAGTGAGACGGCGGATCGCCGCTCTCCGGCACACACGGTCCATGGGCCGTCCCTTCGGTCGACCAGCCGTTCCGCCGGCCCGCCTGCTAGTGTGTGGAAGGTGTGGCGGCTGGTTCACCTGGGCTGTGATGAGCGGTGATTGTCCAGTGTTATTTGGCGGGGGCTGAGTGTTCTCTGCGTCGTTTATTGGCTTCCACCGCGGTACATAGGTGCAGGGTATCGTGTAAGTATTATGGACAGATGCATGCATTTCTCGGCATTGGTTGTGAGTTGTGAGCATCGTCCGTGTCTGCTGGGACGGAGTTCTGCTGTTGGTAATGATAAATACGTTACGCGGTGGTCACGTGCGGAAAGAACAGCCACTACAGCCAGACTGTGTCTAGATCTTACCGCTAGGGGTCCAGTCTGGGTGTGATTGAATCTCCGTTTTTTTTTTTTCAAAACGTGTAGGCCATTTGTGATTTGGAGACTTCGACTTCCTCACTTGCTCAATATGCGATGATGTGCAATTGTGTTTTACTTATCCGTTATACCTACTTTATTTTTGTGTTGTTATTCATGTTCTTCATTTGTCATATTAGTCGTAAAACGTTAATTGCCAACAAAGGCATGTGATAGGTCGCTGTCTACCGCTACTAGCATATAATTGCTCGTATAATTCAGTGTCCTACACAGTATTGGCAGCCTAGACGGCGGCCTACCTAGCATCGACCACATCGACAACAGTTTCTGTCCATATGTCTATATAAAAAGGTGTGTTTACCGTCTGCTTACCCAAATAAAGCCACGTCAGTTCCAGATTGTGCCGTATCGGCTGTTTTAACTCGTAGATCTGTTAATGTTTTGATCGAATCACGAGACAGTGGCATAGTTTTGTTTAGTCTGCCATGCATCTGTCTTATTTTGTGTCTGGGAGAACGGGGTTAGCCGCACAGCGCATCTGCGCCACGAATTAGGAAGGGCAAATGGGCGAGGGGCGCAAGCCGAACTGCATCGATGGACGGTGCAGCTCTGTTTCATGAAGGTTGTGTTAGCGTTTGATACCTACGGGCACGGCGTGAAGTCAATAAAATCGCTCTCTGTGACTGTGAGGCATATCGAATTAATTGGGCATAAGCCATAAATGGTTGTGGGTTCAACAGACCGTTTTTTTTTCCTGACCACGAATAACCGTCCGACCACTACGGCAGCGGAGTCGAGTCCGAGCGCGGGAGGCTCGTATCGCGCGAAGTGCGAACTGTATATCCGTGAACGGACACTGCGCAGCCCACATCCGGTGGTCGGCGACCGATGGCATTGACTTTCAGACGTCTGGTCGGGCGCGGTCGATAACATTACGCCACATGGCACACGCGTGCGCTGTGCGCGTGGATCATGCGGCCTTCCACAAATATATCCTCTGCTTGGCATGCGACCAGCGTACATCGACCGTCCATCGCAGGTGACCCGCTCCTGACCTACGTCACGAGACCCCTCCTCCCCTTTCCGGTCCCCCGCCGAGGCCCTTGCCGTCGCCGCGGCTGCCACGCAAGTTTCGATGAATGGCACACGCAAGGCACACGTACGCATGCGCGTTATGTGTTTACAACCGCCCACGTGACCTCGTAATGATCGCGCTGCGCTGAAGAGCATAGGAAATTGTACGCAGTTGTGTGATCTGTATGTGGCATTTGGACGACCCTGTTGACGTTTCAGAGCTTGTGGAATGACTCAGGTAAGTCTTTTACGTCGTTTTCCAGCACTTTTCAGTACTGGGCGCGCAACGCTTTCGAGCGTTTTGCGTGATTGCGTCTGCTCAATCGATATCGGTGCCCCACCACGTTTTCCAATGGTAACCTTGTGAAGTGCTGACAGTTCAAATTTGGCACAATAAAAGTCTTAAGATTTGGTTTGCTTCAAAAAACTCATTTGTTTCTACACGGGCTGGCGAAAAATGGCAAAATCATGCATTGCGACCGCCTTGTAGACGAAAGTGGCGCGACGTGGGTGTAGTGCTCCCTGTATTTCAATTTGTATTGGAAGTTATGGTGTTTTTGGCAGGCATTTGTTTAATTGAATGATACAGTAAGTTTTTCTTACATAACTAAGAAACAGAATACTAAGTTCCCAACCATTCAAGCTTATAATTCGTGGCATTCCTGGTGTGGAATTTGGTTTGTCGTCAACATTTTTCAGAAGAATGAAAAGTTAGTAATATTTATCTTTGTGTACCTGTATATACCCTGCCCTTAAACAAGTCTGGAAAGTGTTGAGCTCTTTTCATGCGCATGGGGTTAAGCTGTTTTCTATTTACTCATACTTTTGGCCAAACTGTGCAAAGCTTACGAGTACTTCAAAGCTTAGAGATAATACCTTACCTTACCTTACCTTATCGGTTATCGGGTAATAAGGCCACTAGGCCTGGAGGTCCCGCTCCCATCGAGCGTGTGTGACAGGTAAAGGCGAGGCTCTTAATGGTAGGGATTCGGGATGTCGTACATCTTGTTCGCCCAGTGTCGGTCCAGTCGTGCCTTGAACTGAGCAACCGATGTGGCAGACACTACTGTGGACGGCAGGGCGTTCCAGTCGTTGACGACTCTTGTGCTGAGGGCGTTTCTTCGTGTCAGGGTGTTCGCTCTGGGCTTGAGCAGTTTCCACTGGTGGCCTCTTGTTTGGTTGGAGGTGCTCTTGTGCAGGAACCGTTCGGGTTCCACTGCCATCTCGCCGTGCAGCAGCTGAAAGACGGTGATCATATCGCCTCTGCGTCGTCGGTAGTACAGCGAGGGGAGGCGAAGATGACGTAGTCGGTCCGGGTACGGGAGATGCCGGATGATAATGCACCAAAGACATGGCCCTTTACTCTACTACTTAATTATAACATTTACATGAAGAGAAAAGTTCATGTTAATGCTTCATGAATGAATTATCTGGGTGTGTTGACTTTGTGGATGAACATTGAGCGTATTACATAATGTCAGCTTAAAATTTGTTTTTACACCATCACTAATGTGATATTTCACCTACTACAGTAAAGAGCCTGAATTTCCTGCCAGCTAAATTGGTCATACAAGTAATATTGGTAAAGTAGAATAGTTACCTAGCCATTCAATGCAGACTGCAATTCTTCAGTCTGAGTCATGTGAACACTGAATCAACATGCCAAGGCCATGACCAAGTGCTCAGCAAACACTTTCATCATGTTTGCTTTTTAATTTTTTAGTGGCTTCATTGTCATAGCACCCTTTTGCCAGTATTTAGGATGCATACATTTTTTCCTTCTGCAGCTGGTTGAAGTTTTCAGTGACACTGAAAACTTTGTTTGAAGATCTCCCTAATTTCTATTAGTGTGTAGGTAATGTGTTTGAATATGTGAATCATTCAATATGGGACCACATATCAAGCTTGTGCGGTCCCATTCAACAAATAATGTCTTTTGTGAAACATACATTGAAGCTGTATTTTGTTATTGTGCCTACCTAACTACATCTGAATTTAGAGTATTGTCTTATTTGCATCAGCAACCAGTCGTGGTGCAGGGAAAGTTGTATATGTATTGTGTTCTGAACAGTGTTAGATACTAGGTAGCATGAAAAGGGAACTGGAAGCTAAAAATTACAATTTATTGTGTGATGACCCTATGTTGAGACCTGAAGGACAGGATGTGCTGTCAAGCTTAAAACATCTGTTTTCAGAAGAGCATTGATGTTTTTCTTTCAAGGTCATGTATAGATAATTTGTTTTTGAATGTAAATTTGTAAGGGGTTGTTATTCACAGACTGTAATTTTGAGGTATAGGAAAGCAACCTATGCATGCTTCAGAGCAATATAAAAAATTGCATTGTGGCAGAAGTTGAAGACTTCAAAGCAAATTTTTCTTCTTTCACAGGAAAATGTAGTCTGTGTAATTATTTGAGGAAATTCTATCTTGTATTGCAGACTAGTTTTGTAAAGTATGTAAAAAAGCTTAATTCAGCTACCCATTTTGGCAGCATAGGCATACAGTACACTGGAAAGCATGTTATATTGTTTTTGGAGATTGCTGGTGCTGTGCCATCACACTGATCAGCTGGTAAACTGAGATAAGGCAGGACAGGCTTGGTATTCAACATGGCCTTTTGCACTTTGGTTGTGCTATTATGATCCAGCACATATTTTCAAGTTGTCTTTTGTAAATAACTTGAATTTGGTATGTTTAAAAAGTATGTTTATAAAGTGTGAATGTGCTGACACTCTGTGAATTGTGTGTGGTTTGACCCAGCGTGATTTGTGAATATGCTGATGGTCTCATGTGAGCTGTCTTTAGTGTGACCAAGTGTGACTTGATAATTGTAAACCTAGCAGTGCTGGGGGGGGGGGGGCAGGTAGGGGGTAAATATTATCCCCTCCTGGATTTTTGGGATAACTCATGATCTGCATAAGCTATTAACACAGAAACTTTCAGTACCTTCTTTTGCATCAATTTGACACATATGCTGTACAAAGTTTGGCGAAATATGTAAGAAAATTTTGAAAGAAATGACAGTTTTATGGCGTCGCTATGCGCGATTTTCGTGCAAAAATAGACCAATATTCAAATAGCCACTTCTCCTTCATTTAATAAGCAATTTCAAATTTTAAAACATAAGACGCAGAATGTTGTTTTATAAAACACCTATGTATCTCAAATTTCCAGAATTTTCTTTTTTATTTTACTTAAAATTTACAAAAAATAAATGGCATAGAAAATAACTATGAAATTTTTAAAAATTGAAATTTTCAACATAAAAAAACGTAAAATATGTGTGTCATGCAAGTATAGACTATAGGCCTGTACACATTCAGCTGTTGTGCTGTTGTCAGCTGAAATAGGCTCCGCCCACCGCTTCTGGCTGACGGAACTGTATACATTTGGCTGATGAGAAATGTCAGCACTGGCTGACTGTTTACAAATATGGCGTTGTAAACAAATATTTCGCCTCATCTTCATGTTCTTTATTAATACAATACTTAAGCAGTTAGATATATTATCAAAATACTTACTGACAATGTGCGAAAGTAATAAGTATTTTTCTTGTATCGACAATTATTTATGAAACCAAATATATGTGGATAGCGCCAACATGGTGTCCAAATTTCATTTATCTGCAGTGCTCAATAAAAATCTGGCACGTGATTTGCTTTCATGCGCCACTACCAGTGTCTAAATGCGTCATTTATGGCTTTTGCTGACGGCTCGGCATCTCTGCACTTGCTTTCTCGTAGCAGCACAGCCCGTCAGCCCATGCTGCCGGCAGCAGAGAAGTGACGTCATGTTGCATGTGCAACATAACGTCATCAATTTTTCAGCCAATAGTGTGAGTGATTCTCGGCTGACAACAGCACAGCAGCTGAATGTGTACAGGCCTTATATATATAGTCTATACTTGCATGACAAGTATAGACATAAAGTCAAGTCAATCGGTTCAAAAATGGCTTTGATATTGTCCAAAATCTTTGAAAATGTCCATAGGTAAAATTTTGAAATTCGTTCTTTGACCAAAATATGCAACACAGGAAGATGAAAATGGCACCATTGAACTCCCCGTAAAATTCTGCATGGAAAGAAACCTTTTTAAGGCAAAAATAACCAATTGAAATTTTCACCTATATTGAAGGAAATAATCATGTCTTGACCTTTAACCTGACCTTGACCTCACATTTGACCTTTTAAGAAAATGTTAAGCATTTACCTGAACCTTTTCGTTACGAGCTTTCGATTGCCGCCTTCCGTGTAGGTATTTCTACGGCCCTTGGTTTCTGAGCTAGCGGAGGGGGGAGTAATATCCCCCCCCCCAGCGCTGCGCGTTCGGCTGGAGACCCCAGGGCCGCGCGGGCTATTGTACTGACCATAAGTTTTGCCCAGTGTAGCCTTTCAATATGCTACGATTGCAACTGTGATGTGTGTTTGGGCAGGTGCGGCGGCCGCGGCCGTCCTGGTAGCTCTGCCACAGTCGCCGTCTGTGACTGGTGACCCTGCAGAGCGCCGGTGCTGGTGCTGAGCTGGTGCCATCAGAGGTGGGGGCGCTGAGTCGCCGCACACCAATCGCTAGTCACCATTGATCCCACAAGATCAGCCATGGCCGACACGCTGGGCGAAATCCAGAAAATGGGCTACCTCAAAGTCCGCAGGAAAGAAGAAAAGGTATGGTGCATTCACCTTACATCACATACCCTGAATAATGCCTTTTTGAAAGAATGCCATAAAGAAAAGAACATAACATTTTTAAACATGACAGAATTGAAGCTGCTGGATCATGACTGCACTTTTGGCCTTTCATTGAATCAATTTATTTTGCAATCCTATTATTACGAGCGAGCGAGCGCAGCGAGCGAAGTGAGTCTTTTCAATATAACGGAAAAATCTCAGTATGAGCGGCCCGGCCCGGCCCGGCCCGGCCCGGCCCGGCCTGTAACGCTTTTGAGAGGCTTATATCTCAGCAACCGCTGGACCGATTGGCCTGCGGTCTTTTTTGTTGGGTAGCCCCAACCCTTCTACCCCGTAATTGACTACTTTCGATACATCTCAGTGACCGTCGTGGCACGTGCCACGTGAAAAGTCAAGGGTGTTCAAGCTGTTTTGCAAAAGCAGTGATTTTGAGAGGCTCATATCTCAGCAGCCGCTTGGGCGATTGACTTGCGGTAATTTTTGTAGGGTAGCAGCATCCCTTCTACCCAAAATAGGATACTCTCGATGCATGTGGGTCACCCCCAGTGCACGTGAAAAATACAACAATAAGAGGTGCCAAATTTGTTCCCATTTCAGTAACTCGGTAATTACTGGGGCGATTTTGCTGAAACTTGGCATACAGGTAGGCACCCACCAGGCAATGCATTCCCATGTGTTGCGGTTAGGGTGCTACTGCACGTGCGCACGTGCATGGGGCGTTTCCAGATCTCGAGAACGGCTGGGCCGATTGCGCTCAAATTTGGTACACGGTTGGGGACCAGTTAGTAGGGTGCCGTGCAAAAGTCATTTTGGCCCCGTTTGCACGTGCGCACGTGCAGAATGCCGCTTCCAGATCTCAGGAACGGCTGGGCCGATTGCGTTCAAATTTGGCACACCGCTAGCGACCGGTTAGAAGGGTGCTTTGCGCAAGCCCGTTGGAAGCACCCTCTCGCCCTTCCGCACGTGCAGGGCTCACTATCTCGCTCGCTCGTTCTTCGCCCAAAAGGCGTTTTACTGGTATAGTATTATTTTGCTCAACAGGAATATTTATTTCGAGCACAGCTTCTTGGACGTTTTTGACTGACATTATTTGTTTGTTTTCAGAAGTTCAAGAAGAGATGGGCTGTTTTACGCCAGGACACGGCCTCCGTGGATATTTATGAGTCTGACAAGAAATGGAGAGCCAGAGACAAATGCAAAATGTACGGAATTATCTGCCAATTGTTTCCATATATTTGTTGTGCTTCCCACCTATGTGTAGTTATTTTCGTGTTTTTTAAGGGACTATTTCAGTTGCTACCACTATGTATGCATCATCTCGTTAGGTCTAGTGACCTGATGCTGTCCCGACCATGCCCGGCTTTAGCTGACGAGTTTGGCGGCGGTGTCGGCAGGACGATCCCGCTGTCACCGTGCTTCAGCGTCAGCAAGAAGGAGGAGCCCAAGTGCAAGTACGCCATCGGCCTGATGGGCACGGTGAGCTACACGCTGGGACTGGACTCGGATGAGGAGCAGACGGACTGGCTGCTGCGACTGCGCTGGGTGCACCAGGGCGGACGGCACGCCGACGCCGAGCCGCCGCGGCCGCACTACGGTGAGACAGCGCCCAGAGGAGGCGTGGGAGGTAGGCGATGGCCGGTGGGTATCACCAGGGACACGGCGAGCTTACTTTTATTCCCGGCCATACCGCCCGTATATCTCGCCCTGTTTTTGAAGTGACGAGGTTTGTCCGGACACCTGTCGTTTAAACCACGCGCATTGTCTTTCCCCTATGTCCGCCGGCCGTGGTCCCCTCGCTGATGCCGCCCTCCCTTCCGTACCCGGCAGACTCCATGTGGGAAGTGACGATCACCGACCGCGGCCTGGGCAGCACCAAGAAACTCAACGGCCAGTATTGTGTGGGCCTCACCTGTGACGGCATTCAGCTCATCAACAAACGCAACAACAACGAGACCTACGACCTGCCGGTGAGCGCCCGACCCGACCCGACCTCGAGCCCCACACTGACACCGATCCTGACCCTGATTCACCCGCGTCCCGATACTGCCCGATATCGGCCCTGACCCACACACCGACCCCGACTGCACTGCCTCCTCCCGGTTTTATTTTGATCGCCTTTGTTAGCAGCTTCTGCGTGTGATTTCGGTCATTCGTGACCTTTATTCGTGGATTTGCTGGATCCGGCCGTTATGTTACGGTTTTTCGGAGGTTTTCCGGTGTGTGACCGCGGTCTGCTCGTTCCCAGTTCTCCGTGATCCGCGGCTGCCGCCACATGGAGTGTTTCTTCTGGCTGGAGGTGGGCCGCACCTCGTGTTTTGGAGCCGGAGAGATCTACATGCAGCTCGCCGAACGCATCTACGCCCAGAATATGCACGAAGTTATGAAGACTAAGTTCAAGTGAGTGACTATTCACGCACTGGTGGGTGTTTTTGTGAACGAGTTGGAAAATCATTTGTGGAAACAGTTGACAATATGCATATTTTATTAATGCTTATCAAAAGTACATGATTCAGGGCATGTTCGCGTTTATTTTGCTCAGTTTTTAGTTCATGATTTAATGATATCGAAATTCATGTCTTAGTATATGCAGAATCTCTGCAACCATGCTCTCTGATAGCCTACGCAGCTGCTGTAGCCCTCCTCCACCTGGTGCACCACCCTGGCCGGTAAGTGCGGTGCCTCACACCTGAGCGGTATTCTGTTCCCGACGGACCGCTGTTCAGTGGCCGCTGCTGACCTGTTTGCGCTCTCGCCGTCCGTCAGTTCTCGGAGCAGCGAGTCGAGCAGCAGCCAGCAGGGCGAGTCACGGCCGCGCGTCGCCTCCACTTCAGAGCCGTCGCGGCCCATCAACGTGGCCAAAGGTCGCCGCAACACCTACTCATGTGAGAGACAGCTCCCGTCCGCGGCCCGTCCCGCCCCGACCTCGCTCCGGCTCCGGCTCCGGTCCCGGCCCAGTCCGGATAGGCCGCTCTCTCAGTCACCATCGTGTCTCTCCGACTCTCTTCTTCAATTTTACCCTTCTCTTTTTTCAGTTAACCACCTGCCTTCGATCTCCTCTCTCCTACCCACCCACTGTCTCTCTGCTTTCTTCTAACCCACTAACGACCGCTTACTGTCTCAGTCCGATTCGTGTCGTTAGCTGTCTATCGGTTTGTTTTTATTCGCTGTCTCAGCTGTGGACGCTGGACCTCATCGTGCTCCCGTATCTGTCTGGTTTATTGCTATGTCTGTTTCTGTATTCCTGTCTCAGCTGTGGACGCTGAACTACGGTCTTGCAGCTCCTATGTCTAGTTTTGCTCCCTGTCTGTTTCTGTATTCCTAGTGTCTCAGCTGTGGACGCTGAGCATCGGTCGTACTCCCGTGTCTGTCTAGTTTTGTCTCTCTCTGTCTGTTTCTGAGTGTTCGCTGGCTCAGCTGTGGACGCTGAAGTTGGCCGTGCTCCTGTGTTTGTCTAAGTATCTGTGTGTGGGAGGAAGAACAGCTCTGCCTGTAGATAGGGATACATGCATTGGTAACACACGGCAATACACGACGGTCAGCTGCAGACGCCGGGAGCTTATGCCTCGAGTGCAGAGTGATTGCTAATGGGCTTCTATCGGTTGGCTGTGGTTTTTGCGGTATTGCAATTTAGAAGTTGTCTGTTTGCATTCGGTTGTATGCCTACAGTCTATTCAGTTGTGATTCCTTGTAGGCAACAAAACTGGTGCTCAGACACTTTTTGATAGGTACGTCTTGTGTCTTTAGGAAAATTGTGTTATTTCCTTTGCGTTCTGTGAGGTGTCAGGTGAATCGTTCTTTTTTGTGACGGCATTACTGAATCTCATGCGGCTTTCATTTTATCCATTATGACTGATTCGTTGGAAGCTGGAAGCTCTTCTTGTTTTATTTGAGAGAGCTCTTTGGTCGTGTTTACAGTCACTTTGTTCTGTGTTATTGTCGAGCTTAAAACACATTTTTTCTTCATCTTCCCTCGTCATGTCCCTGATTTTCGTCTTTGTGAAAGTGACATTCGTTCTACCTCAGCGCTCTCTTCATTTCCCTGGCTACTCTGCCGTGGTTAAATGTGTGTGCCGTTGTCTGATCGTACTGAGGAGATGACTTGTCTGTTCAACAGTGATGGCGGCTCACTGGTGGCTGTTTAGTGACAATTTTAGAAGGGATGTTACAAACTAAAAGGGTGCTTCGGGTGAAAAGCATGCATCGCCGTGCATCGCCTGCTTGCTGACAACATTTTAAAACAAAATGCGGGTAATACAGAACAATCATGCGATAGTTTCAGTTGCTGACTTCATTGAAAGACTGTAAGCGCCAATTGTTTCTCCTAGTTTGCGCTTTTCACCGAGTTGTGGTCTCTCCAATCATGAGAGTTTGTAAGTTGAGTAAATACCGAGGCAACTGAAAGGCTGACGATTTGCCACTGTTTTCATCTCGTCGCTTCGTACGCTGCGGCCTCACCTGACCCCCACTGTTCCGCCGCCAACAGCCAACAACAGTTCCCACACGTCTGTGAACACGATTCCTGCGGCGACCACGCCGGGTCGCGACCGGTCCGGGTCGGTGCCCAGTCGGCCGCGCACGACCAGCGAGGGAACGGGCGACCGACACCACGCCACGCTGCACGGGTTAGTGTTATAATTACTGACGGACGACACATGTCCGTGTGTCGCCAAGTTTCTACGCGCGTGTCTTTTCGTTTGTTTTGTTTGTTTTGTTGGGTTAGGCCCTTTCGGTCCAATGCAGTGTTCCATTTTTCAGACTTTTTGGTGGCAAATCACACCTGATGGGGAAAATATTTTCATCCCTAAAATATGAATGACTGACTTTACTTCATCTCTGAAAAAGGTTTCATGTATTCGAACAGCCAGTTTACATGTCACTTGACAGTTGATGCACCCACATCATTTTGTTTCACACCCTGTCAAGATCCTGACATGAAATCCTGCCTACACCATTTTGCAAAATACTTCAGTTATTTCCTTTCTTTTTTTTTCTCATCCTAGGATTTTTTTTCTTCATCAGCACACCCAACCAAAATCCAATTTTAGAACACTGGTCCAATGAGACCATTTCAGAGCCGGGAGGATGATAGGATATAGGGGGAGACATTGGTCTGGGCAGGCACCCTAGTGAGTCGCCGGGGCTGAGCCCGCCCAGAGGACAGGCCACCCAGCCCCAAGGCGCTCACTGCACCCGGCTACGGGGTGCGCTCCCTCGGGAGCAGCGGTGCCGCTCCAAGGGAGCAGCCCGCATGAGATAAAGTTGCCTGTCCGGCCCGGAGGGGGGTTGCGGCGTGGAGGAGAAGGATTTCAGTATCCTGAGGATAGAAGCACGGAACGGTCGGTGTCACGTATAAACTTGTCGTGTGGTTAGTATCACAACGCCGCGCGTATGTATAATATGTTGCGTATTATATGCATGTGTGTACGTTTTTTTTTTTTGTAAATGATTGGGCTTGACCGACTAACTCACGGCTGGCAGGCACCACACCCGCTCTCGGGTCGGCACGGACAGCCACAGCCGTATCTCTCTGGTGGCTCACTCGCGCAGCTCCAGCATGACGGCCGGATCGCCGCCAGTGCCCAGCAGCTCCTTCAGGTGAGCGCTATAATATCGTGCATCATTCGAGTGAGCAAGGTAACCGAGACATGTGTGAGACATGACCGAGATTGCTCACGGTCATGTGTGATATTAAGAAGTGAAAAGTTGTTGGTTCTGCCAAAAGCTCAGTTGTCACCGGCTAGTGGGGTTGTGCCGTGTATGCCTGTCACACTTCTCAGCCCGCGCTGACCGCCCCTCCCCCCCCCCCAGCCCGGCGTCCGTGGATAGCAGCTCCTCGTACAGTATCGACGAGCACGGCAGCGTCTGCCACCCGATTACTTCCGAGAACACCATTGTCGAGGAGGCCGCCGGCGACTACCTGATGGTGGACCGCGGCCGCGCCAGCGCCGAGCCGCAGGACGCCGCCGGCGGCCGCAAGCGCTCGCTGCCGCCGCTGTCGCTGCCGCTGGCGCCGGCCGGCTCGGCGTCGGCCGGACCGCCGTCGGCCGACTCGCCCTATCTGCCGATGGTGATCTCGCCGGGCCGGCAGCCGGCGCCGGCCGGGGCCGAGGAGGCGCCCGCCTACCTGCCGATGGTGATGGCGCCCGGCGGCGGCGGCGACACGCCCGACGGATACATCACCAGCCCCAGTGAGTGGATAGCCGCGGGGCGGGGGTGAAGGAAGGCGCCGATGCTTGCTTGTCCTATTCTTTGCGGCTGTTATGCTTATCATGTTATTATTCGATTGCCAATGCTTAATGTGCCCTGAACTGTGATCTTATCGAGCGATTACACTGTGTGAGCTGATTGTGTCTCCTTCATCGTTTTCACCCTGTTGCAGTATTATTGTGCCACCATCTCCGTTTCCAACTAACCCGAGTCCCTCTGTTCACTCCGCAGCGCCGAGCCAGGGCCACCGCGGCCACCACAGCCGCGACTCGAGTATCACCGAGGACAGCTACGTGCCCATGTTCCCTCAGTCGGAGCACGGCGACTACCTGGACATGCGCGTGGGCGGCGGCAGCGCGTCGCACCTCTCCGATGGTGGGTGACTGCCCGGTGACCTGTGCCGGTCACGGGCTGGTGCATAGTTGGGTGGTGCTTGCTGGCTGCAAGATGGTAGGGAATAAAATCAGATGTTGGAACTCTGTTTCACACTGTACGTACTCCGGGAAAGGATACTTTTTCAACTGGTATGTAAGATTTTTGTGGTGGGAAGCCCAGATGCTTCTTTGATCGTTACCTATCTGTGCCTCTGTTTGTGTCCAATGTGTCATAATGTGCTGAACTACGGGCCTCAGCTGCCACCCTGACCGGACACTGGACCCATCCTTCTGCCTTCTCGACGTTCTGGCTTCTGTCTCGTCCTGTCATCCCCTCGGAACCCTCAAATCTAACCGGCGCCCCCTTCTCCCGGCAGCGGAACTGAGCTACAGCGGGGCCGACCCGGAGGGTTACGTGCCGTTCGCACCGGGACACCCCCACTTTGCGGGCGAGGCCGTCAGCCCCAGTATGGACGTGCACCCGGCTGGCAAACGAGCCAGCAAGATATCGGACGGTAAGGGTCGGGAACGGGCTCAGCTGGCCAGGCACTGCGGATGGTCGTGTGAGAATCGGAAATAGAGTGAGAAAATGTGGGAGTGGATTGAGAGTGGCAAGTGGCATAAAAATTAGAAGTGGAGCGAGAGAAAGGAAAGGAGTGAGACTAGAGAGTTGAACGAGTCTGAATCCCAAAGAGATGATTCGTGGGACCACGGACGGAGATTTGAACGTTTCAAATTTCCTTTTCAGACTGGAATCCGCTGAGTTTAGGTATGTGGGTCGGTGAGAGTCAGAGGCTAGGTCCATGCCATTGCACAGACGCCGCACGCGCACAGATCGGGGACCGCCGTGGATGGACGAACACTCGGGTGGTGCACGACTCAACTTTCTGTTGTTCATGCCTTGTCCTAATATCACGTTCACGATATTTCAGCCACAGTAGCTCCGCTTCGCCGGGTCGCAAAACTATTCCTGATCACTACCGCCTCATGTCCTCCACTTCTATATAGTTCTCAGTTTTAGTCGGTAGGTGCAACCGCGAGGCCATTCGCTTCTCCTCGCCCACAACAAAGACGCATGATCACATTTTAGTATTAAAATATTTCTGCTGCTCAACTCGGCTACGCAATCCCTTCCTGTGCCAGACCGTCTCTGCAGATCCAGTAGCTTTTTACCATGCACCCAGCCTCCTTTTTTCGGCCAGCTTTACCTTTCATCTCAAGCACATCCGGCTGCCTCACCACCCTCCCCCGCCCTCGGTCTCTGACTGCCCCGTGCGTCCGGCAGCCGACTCGTACGTCGAGGTGTCGCCGGGCTCCAGCTGCAGTCTGCTCTCGGGCACTCCGCAGTCGGAGTCGGCACACCTGGACCGCGCCGCGCCGCTCACCGTGCTCACGCCGCCCTCCGAGGACGCGCAGCCGACCGGCCGACACGCCGCCGCCAGCGCGGCCGACCGGCAGCACGCCAGGTGAGGGAAGGGGTAGTATGCACGTAGATCCATGTGAGGAGAGGGACACAGTGGTAGCAGACGCGCCTAGCGCGGCCGGCACACTGCTGCCACGGCTGACGGGTAGCACGCCGGTCAGCCGTGAGTTGCTGGACTCTGTTGGTAGGAGAGACGATTAGCGGCCGTCCCTGATTTACGCTGATCTCGGAGAACTTTGCAGAAAATATCGGAACACCCTTCTCGTTTTTTCTTCCCTGAGATTTTGGTGTTTGTCGTTTTAAGTTTCGCTGATGGTCAACTCTGCGCCCACTGGCTTGTTGTGAAGAGTATTTGCTAATTCGCCTGACCCTCTCCGCAGTCGGAGTGACGGCGAGAGCACGCGCATGCGAGCCTTTTCGCTGGGCAGCCGCCTGAGCCAGGCGCTGAAGCCGCGCCGACGTGACCGCTCCGAGAGTGACTCGAACTCCACCGAGCGACCGTCCACCGGCGAGCCCGGAGTCCACGGCAGGTGAGTGGGACGGGAACGCCGAGCGAATGGCAGCTGGAACTCTGCGCGAAATTCCGTGCGTAGCAGAAAATCAGCTGGGAGCTCAGCTCTTCTCTGTCTTGTCATAGCTGATCTATCAGTTTATTTTTTGAGCAGCAGGGTTCCAGGATATGAGACTCATTTTCTCCATTTTCCTTTTTCATAGTCTCCCCAGAATATCGACGTGGTGAATGCTTCCTACTCATGCATCGCACGGTCTCTCCCCAGTTTGGCTGCCGTGATGAGCTGCGTCACCCTCACACCCGCAGTTCTGGGGCGTTGAGTAGATTATGTAATACGAGAAGTAGTAGCCTTTGCTCATATTAATGTTCAAAAAATGCACAAAATTGAATATATTAAAATAATACTGATATTTCGCCTTGCGGCATCATCAGAGTACACACATACAACTTTAGGTTTCACAAAATGCAAGAAAGAAAGAGACACGTGCGACTTTACCACGGGAACAAACGCCAGCCGATAGTCAAATCTTGTCCTATATAAGAACATAGGAAGAACCTATAATCTACGTTGACTACATTTTATACATATGATAACAAATACATGTAACAGTACGGTAGAGCGAAGAACAAACACACAACAGCAATAGGAGACGATGTGCAGACTGTAGAGGCCAGAGACCTATAACACACACCATGTCGGTCAGACACCAGAGGGCTACCCTAGTAGAGGCCATGTATCTAACTGATTGTTCAGACTGGGACGCCTGTCCCGAATGGCCAAAGCCTCTGCTATCTTTCTGTCTGCTGCATCTTTGCACCGGCGTATGATGGAGACAGACAGCCGTGGCTCTGACACATTGGGGTGACACTGTTCCATATGATCACCAAATGGGGTCTGCCGAGTGCGATTCGCGCCGTCACGGAAATGCTCATCGAATCTATATCTGATACACCGTTTGGTTTCACCGATATAGATTTGCGGTGGTCCTCCCAAGTCAGCACATATGGTGCACGTGATTGTGTACACCACGTTCTTAGTGGTGCACCGACCCGTCAGACCACTGGTGCACGTGCGGCATGAACGCTTTCCAGCGCGGCATGGAGGTGGGTCTAACGCCGAGTGAACAAGGCGTCTTTGGATGGTGTTCTCGTTCTTCCAAGACGCCGTGAGACTCGGATTGACTGATTTTAAGGCAGCATCTACTCTCCTAGTCAGGGTGTCGTCTATGAAAGGAAGGGTAACGTATATCCTGTCTTTCTTCTGTGGTCGTTGTGTTGTCTTTTTAGGGTGTTTGTGCTGACGTATAGCTTGTCGAGCCACCCCGTCAAGCCAGTGGGGTGGGTAGCCGTTAGAGAGGAACAGTGCACGAATCATATCCATGCTGTGTTTGGCGCTGGTCTGATCTGAAGAGACTTTGAGTGCACGTAGAAACTGTGACCTCACTACTGCTTTTTTCATCTTAAACGGCTGGGCGGAATCGTAGTAGTGAGGTAGTGAGGTCACAGTTTCTACGTGCACTCAAAGTCTCTTCAGATCAGACCAGCGCCAAACACAGCATGGATATGATTCGTGCACTGTTCCTCTCTAACGGCTACCCACCCCACTGGCTTGACGGGGTGGCTCGACAAGCTATACGTCAGCACAAACACCCTAAAAAGACAACACAACGACCACAGAAGAAAGACAGGATATACGTTACCCTTCCTTTCATAGACGACACCCTGACTAGGAGAGTAGATGCTGCCTTAAAATCAGTCAATCCGAGTCTCACGGCGTCTTGGAAGAACGAGAACACCATCCAAAGACGCCTTGTTCACTCGGCGTTAGACCCACCTCCATGCCGCGCTGGAAAGCGTTCATGCCGCACGTGCACCAGTGGTCTGACGGGTCGGTGCACCACTAAGAACGTGGTGTACACAATCACGTGCACCATATGTGCTGACTTGGGAGGACCACCGCAAATCTATATCGGTGAAACCAAACGGTGTATCAGATATAGATTCGATGAGCATTTCCGTGACGGCGCGAATCGCACTCGGCAGACCCCATTTGGTGATCATATGGAACAGTGTCACCCCAATGTGTCAGAGCCACGGCTGTCTGTCTCCATCATACGCCGGTGCAAAGATGCAGCAGACAGAAAGATAGCAGAGGCTTTGGCCATTCGGGACAGGCGTCCCAGTCTGAACAATCAGTTAGATACATGGCCTCTACTAGGGTAGCCCTCTGGTGTCTGACCGACATGGTGTGTGTTATAGGTCTCTGGCCTCTACAGTCTGCACATCGTCTCCTATTGCTGTTGTGTGTTTGTTCTTCGCTCTACCGTACTGTTACATGTATTTGTTATCATATGTATAAAATGTAGTCAACGTAGATTATAGGTTCTTCCTATGTTCTTATATAGGACAAGATTTGACTATCGGCTGGCGTTTGTTCCCGTGGTAAAGTCGCACGTGTCTCTTTCTTTCTTGCATTTTGTGAAACCTAAAGTTGTATGTGTGTACTCTGATGATGCCGCAAGGCGAAATATCAGTATTATTTTAATATATTCAATTTTGTGCATTATTTGAACATTAATATGAGCAAAGGCTACTACTTCTCGTATTACATAGTATATATAACGATGCTCATCACAGCCATCCATTTCATTTGCGTTGAGTAGATTATCACATTTCTCCCTCTTTCCGCAGTTCTGGTGCGGTGAGCGGCTCGCCGCACCTGAGCTCGTCTCTGGACTCTCCGCTGACGCCGCTCAAGGAGTACTGCCGGCGCCGACAGAAGGGCACCGAGCTGCGCGAGCAGACGGGCAGTCCGGCAGCCGAGTCGCACTGCAGCCAGGACAGCCTGCGGCACCGGCCGCGCTCCAACTCTCAGAGCAGCCAGGGCAGCGACAAGGTGAGGCCGCCGCCCCCCGCCGCCGTATGGGGACGGGGAGGTGGCGGGGGAGGTAGATGTAATGCTCACTACTCGTTGGGGGGGGGGGGGGGGGGCAGGCAGCTCGCGCTCGCTTTGTAGTTTTGCTCCAGTAGTTGCAACTTGCTACGAGCGAGCGAGCGCAGCGAGCGAGCGAGCGAGCGAGTTCATACTGAATTAAGGGAAAATCCTGAGTAGGTATGAGCGGCCGGCCGGCCGTGGGGACGCTCTTCAAAAGCTAATATCTTAGGAACGGGACATCCGATTGACAAGCGGTCTTCTTTACTGAATGTCACTTGGACGTAAAAGATCTGTGGTGTGATGGCCACCATGCGTTCTTGCCAACCACCGTACGTGGCGCGTGGTAAAGTTGGACATTTTTTAAGAGCCCCCAAAATTGCAACCTCGATAACGGCACAACGGTTGGGCTGATTGAATTGAAACTCGGTACACGGTTAGGTCTCCATCAGATAATTCATCTGCATGTGTTAAGGTTGGGGTGCTACAGCACGTGCGCACGTGCAGGGGGCGCTCCCAGATCTCGAGAACGGCTGGGCCGATTGCGCTCAAATTTGGTACACCGTTGGGGACCAGTTAGTAGGGTGCCGTGCAAAAGTCAGTTTGGACCCCGCTTGCACGTGCGCACGTGCAGAATGCTGCTTCCAGATCTCAGGAACGGCTGGGCCGATTGCGTTCAAATTTGGCACACCGCTAGCGACCGGTTAGAACGGTGCTTTGCACAAGCCCGTTGGGGCATTCCACGATAGATCGACCAAAAAAACTTAAAATTTACACCTGCATATTTTATTTTTTGCTTAAAATTGGTCTAATGGGTTGTGATGGGCGGGGAACCCAGCTGTGGCAAGGATTTTTTTCTTCGAACAACGGTTTCCGAGATATAGCCTCGGGCAGTTCCTGGAGGTCACGCTGCAACCCTATGTTTGGCGGCTTATAACTCAGAAACTATTTGTTTTCTATGGTAAAAACTTGATATGGTTCAACTCGCAATCACCCAACAAACGTTTTGGCTATCTCGGATTTTCGATTTTTGAAAATTTTGATCACGTGACATCTTGATATTTTTTCGAAGAGTGACCTTGATATTTTCCCAACTGAAAGTCGCAATTTTGTCTGATGACGATTAAAGCCTTATCAATTGCCATTCATATGCAATAATAAAAAAGTGGCTTTCGGCCTGCGTTGACCTCAGGTCAGGTCATTTTTATGACCTTCCCATTATTACGAGCGGGAGCGACAGCGAGATCTCGAGAACAAAGCAAGATAGCGACAAGCGGTAAACGGCACAGGGTACACATGGATAAGGTCTACAATTTTTACTCAGGTCATTTTCAGGTCAGGTCAAAGCTGACGTCACAGGGGTAAAAAGAAAGTGTAAATGGCGGCACTACATATATGGGGCATTCCACGATAGATCGTACCAGGCCCGTCACCCTCATCCCTCAGATTTGAATGAAAATTGGTACTAGGGGTAATCATAGGCTCCAAAAACACCTGCCAAAATATCAGACTTCTCAGATGAAAACTTTTTGAGTTATATTGCATAATATTTTCTAAACTTCAGATTGTAAGGGTGAGTTTGATGAGCTATAACTCAAAAACGAGCTAAGCAAGCAACAAACGGTAAACAGCTTTGAACTAACGATGAATCAAAGATTAATACAGCTTTTTCAAATTGGAAATAAAATCCTTACATATTGAAAAAAATCGTATTTTTTTTAATTGTCTATTATGGCCCTTGGGGCCTAAATTTTTGCCATTTTTATTTCTTCAAAATAAACTTCAGGTCATTTAAAACCGACATGCAAAAAATTAGAAAGGTGTTCTTTCTATAAGTTCCTCATTTTAATGCATACAAAATGGGTTTCCGGGGGTCGGTACGACCCCAGCTCGCCGTCTCGCCTCTAATGGAGCTAGAACCTTGCGGAAAAAACGAGCATATGCGCCGTTACAAGATGCATCGAATGATACCACATTTTAAGGTCTCGGGTTCATTGGTGAACCCTGGGGTCATTTCAAGTGACCCAAATTACGGGTCCGGTTTTTGGTAGATAACTTCGCAACAAATGGTCGCAGAGCCGCGATTTTAGCATCTTTGTGTTTGCCTAGCTCCGGCGCGTCGAATGGTATACTGTTTGTTCTGGTGAGGTCAGCATAAGTCGCTGAACTCGGGTCAGCACACTGCCGTGTATTTGGCTCCGCTCCCCGACCGGGCGGCCCAGCCGGCAGCCAGCCCCCGGGCATCACGTGACCGCCCCGAGTCCGCGGCAAAGCCAACCAGCGCGGCGCTGGACAAACAGCGCCGCCACAGAGATGGTTAACAGTCGGGTCAGGCCACGAAGCTGGGTGAATGAGATCATATTGCACATCATTCAATTCGCAAGGTCTTCCCGAGTCCATTGGTAGCTTTCCCGTCTCTCTAGTTCAATTTGATCGAGAGTTATTGACGAAAAACTCTTATGACCCTAGTGACGTAAGAATGACGTCAAGCAAGGTCAACAATCCAAAAGTCAGGCACAAATGACTTCAATTGAACTTTCAGTAGCCAGTGATGTCACTAGGCAGCTTTACCACGCCATTTGTAGGCTCTCTTCCCGAAATCACAATTTGAGACCATTACGGTAACGCAAAATAAATACATTTATAGAAAGAACACCTTCCTAATTTTTTGCATACTACTTAATAATGATCCAAAAATGTTTTTAAGAAAATAAAAATTCAAAAAAATTTGGTCCCAAAGGCATATAAATGCAAATGAAAGAAAGCTCGAGGTGTTATATATCAAAAATAGTTAATATTTCAAAATTTTACAAATGCATATTATTCTTTGTTTCAATGCAAGTTCAATGCCGTATAGCATTTGGCATTTGGATTATCCGTCTTAGAGTTACAGCCCGCCAAACTTGGCGCTGCAACGCAAGATCCAAAACATGTTATACACTATAACTCAAAAATTACTCATCTGATCAGCCTGAAATTGTCACAGGAGGATTCAGAGACCCTGATTACCCCTTAGACCAATTATCGTTAAAATCCAAGAGATGAGGGTGTCAAATTGGAAAAAAGTGGTACGATCTATCGTGAAATGCCCCATATATGAAGTTTTTTCTCGAATAACTTTCGAAGTATCCCAGCTAGGAACAAACTAATAGCACCATCGTGACCCTCTCGTCGATCCGCATCGAAACATGTGTATGTTGACCTCGAAAGGTCAAGGTCAAAAGTTGACCTTAGGTCACGTGACCTTAAGGTCATCATATATATCATTCGATGGGTCTTGACGAGCTGAACACAATGAGCCTATCCGCGCGGCTGTATCTCAAACCTGTAAGGAATTATTAGCAAAAAACATTTGGTGACCTTTAATGACGTCACATGACCCAAGAGCAACGTCACAGTTGACCAAGAGCAAAAAAGGTCTCAAGGTAGTCAAAGTTAGTCGCATATGGAGTCACTCATGGTATATTAGGCAATTCCGACGCGTTTTAGTGTAAAAATAAGGGAGCTGATTTTTCCCCAATTGACTTATAATGGGGTGGTCAAGAAATTGACCTGACCTCAGGTCATCGGTATCGAAATTCAAAACGAACTGGCGCTAGGCGAAAGCAAACGGATTGGTGCCTATTCTACGTCTCTTTCTTTATTAGATCAAAAGGTACAGCCAAAAACGGAAAATTATTGTGTGTTCAACGCGTGACCTCGGATGACCTTTCAGCGGGTCACTGATACAAAGCTGCACCAGTGCCATCAATAATAGCCTAACTCAACATGATTCAAAAGTATTTGAACCGGTCATATGCGTTTCGGTGGTAGCCGATATTTCTGCCATTGACTTATAAAGGACAGGTCAAAAAATGACCTGATCTCAGGTCAATGTAGGCCGAAAGCCACTTTTTTTATTGTCGCATATGAATGACAATTGATAAGGCTTTAATCGTCATCAAACAAAATTGCGACTTTCAGTTGGGAAAATATCAAGGTCACTCTTCGAAAAAATATCAAGATGTCACGTGATCAAAATTTTCAAAAATCGACAATCCGAGATAGCCAAAACGTTTGCTGGTTGATTGCGAGTTGAACCATATAAAGTTTTTACCATAGAAAACCAATAGTTTCTGAGTTATAAGCCGCCAAACATAGGGTTGCAGCGTGACCTCCAGGAATTGCCCGAGGCTATATCTCGGAAACCGTTGTTCGAAGAAAAAAATCCTTGCCACAGCTGGGTTCCCCGCCCATCACAACCCATTAGACCAATTTTAAGCAAAAAATAAAATAGGGTGTACGGCTTTGGTCGATCTATCGTGGAATGCCCCCGTTGGAAGTACCCTCTCGCTCTTGCGCACGTGTAGGGCTCACTATCTCGCTCGCTCGTTCTTCGCCCAAAAGGCGTTTTACTGGTAATAGTGCTTACTGCTCAGGTACGTCTTGCTTGAACTGTTGCTAGTTTTAGTGACTGGGCTAGCATTGGATTAGCTGGCGAAAAGGTGAGGATATGGGATTCTTGTCGGCTACGCTAGGCTCCAGATTTCTTAAGCTCGAATCAGTCCGAGTATTACCATTGTTCGATGGTGGAGGTATATCTTCTGCCGTTTTCTCTCGGCGGGTCCTGGCTGTACTGACACGGCGCGTTTGGTGGCGGCAGACTCACAGCAATGGCTGGAGGATGCTGTTCAAGCGTCGTGACAAGAAGTCGACCGGCTCTCTGCCGGTGGACGTGCCGGCGCAGCGCGCGCCCCGATCGCCGAACCACCCGCCGCCCTGCGCCGAGGAGACCTACGTGGGCGTGGCGATGGGAGCGCCGGCGCGCGCGGGCGGCGGCACCCGGCGCCGCCATCGGCCCAAGCGGCGCGACGCGCAGCCGCACTACACCGACGACGACTACTTGATGATGGGCCCGATGCACCTGGACGAGGACACCTCGTCGGGCTCGCAGGCCGGCTCGCTGAAGCGACGCACTCCGGCCGTACGGCGCGCACCGACCACCGAGAACGACAGCTACATGTCGATGGAGCCGGTGCGGCCGCTGGGCAGCCCGCTGGCCAGTCCCGCCGGCGGCGACTACCTCAACATGGACATGTCACTGCGCCGCGCGCCGCCCACCGCCGCGCCCACGTCCGACTACGTGAACATGGAGATTAGCGGCGGTGTGCCGGGCCCGGCGCCGCCGCCGGCCGCCGACACCTCCGACTACCTGGCCATGACGCCGCGCTCGCTGGCCACCCCGCCTGGTGTCCCGGCGGCGGCGGCGACGGCCGGCACGGACGGCGATTACCTGGAGATGTCGCTGGGCAGCCGGCCGACGCCGGCGATGCCCGTGATGCGCTCCCGCTCGGCGCGTTCCTCGGCGGAGCGGGAGCCGGAGCGGTGGCCGGCCGGCAGCCGGCGCGACCCGGACACTTACTGTGCGATGGAGGCGCCGCGCCGGCCCGTCTCAGCCCTCCTCTCTGTGCAGACCTCCCTAGACGGCGACACGGAACGCCGAAAGTCGGACACGACTTCTCCGGACGACCGCCGCCGCAGTATGGGCTCCGGGTTCAGCCCCGGACCAGGCTCCGGCTCCGGAACCAAGGTGCAGCGGAAGAACTCGGGGGTGACCGGCGCCGGCCTGCTGCGCAAGCTGGACGCCATGAACCCGCGCGCTATGTTCCGCACGCTCAGCCAGCGCGGCAAGAAGGACTCGAAGCGCCTGTCGCCGGGCGCGGCGGAGGGCGGCGCCGCACCGACCAGTATAGACCGCTCACCGTCCTCCCAGTCTCTGTCGTCGTCCAACAGTATACAGGAGGAGGTGGAGGTGGGCGCTGGCGCCGACTGCGAGCCGCTGACGGCCAGCGGCGTGCCCGTGTTCCGAGCCGCCGAGCCGGCGCCCGAGTCGCGGCTCGGCTCGGCCAGTCCGTGCGGCTCGGTGGCCAGCGTCACGCCGCGCGCCTCGCTGGCCAGCTCGCAGGCGACCACGCCGCGCCAGACGCCGGCGCCGACACCAACCCCCACCCCTCTGCCGCTGACCACCAGCAGCTCCCTGACGAGCTTCGCGCCGGCGGCGGCGGCGGCAGCGGCGGCCGCGCCTCCGGCGGTCCGGCAGCGGCACGAGTCGAACCCGCCGCCGTGCAGCCAGAGCCGGCAGCAGCGGCCGCAGACGAGCTGCGGCTCGCGCTCGCTGACGGCGCTGCCCACAGAGGAGCCCGAGGTGGTGTACGCCTCGCTGGACCTGGTGGACGGAGACACGGCCGCATGTCAGGCGCAGCTCGCCGCTGCCAGCAAGCTCACCTACGCCAAGATCGACTTCAAAGAGACGGGGAAGCTGAAGCAGCGCGACAGCTAAGGTCGGGCGGCGGCGGCCGCGGCGGCGGTGGTGCGGTGTGGCCCGGGCGACTCGCCGACTCCGGTGGGTCGCTCCGTCCGGCCGCGCGGACACGGTCCTACGCCGCCGTCTGGTGGGCGGGTCCCGGGCCACTGCGCCGGGGCCGCCTACCCTCCACGGCGCGCCGCGCGTGCCCGTATTTTACCGAGGTATTTTGTTATTTTATATACAAGTTTATTTAAAGCGTAGCGGCGTGTGGCTGCTGTGTGCAGGCGGTGGCGCTGTGGTCGTCTTCTACGGGGCGGCGCGCCGGCCCGGTGGTGCTCTGAGCTTTGCTGCGCGCCCGTCGTGATGTGCGTCTGTTACGTGTATGCGCGTGTTGGCGGTGTGAGTGTGTGAGAGGTGTCTGCGCGCGCTGTGCGGCTCGTTGTGGCGCCGGCGGACTGCTGCCGGCGCGCCGGCGGGGCAGGGCCTCCGCGCCGTACCCGCCGACCGGCGCTGGTCGCCGGCGAACGGCCGTCAGGTAATGGCCGGGTGGGGCGGCCGTCCTCTGTTAGAGGAGCCCCGCGGTCCGCGAGTGTGGTTTTACTGTTGTTATGTAAGGATCATATCAGTGTTGTTTTATACATCTGTTGAGTCTTATTTGCTCCGTTCAAGACGCCGCTAGTCATTTGTGGTCTTGTTCGGCATCGCTTGTCAATGCTCGGCCGCGAGCCGGGCCAACATTTAACTAACATTGGCCACGTACTGTGCATAGATAATTATTTTAATACATGAGTGCTAGGTACGAACCAGTGTTTGATATCTAGAATATCAGTGTTTGATAACTAGGACTAAAGCTGGCACTACTTGTAGTTTGGCTGGGCAAGGTCATTTTCCGAGGGCATCGGGCGTAACACACATTATCCTTGTTGCCTATTGCGGTGGCGAATCACGCATGCTTTTCTTTCTCACCCTCTCGCATCAACCCCTCAAATGCTGATTTCAGCGAGCGAGACTAGTAATTTGGTGGGAGCAGAATCTATGTTATTTTTGTGTCCGCAGCTGTGCGGCGAATTGACGAATTGTATCGTATCGCCATAATTCGACCAAGATGGCTAGGACCATGCTTTTCCCGGGTCTTTCGCAACCTTTCGACACGTATCACGCTCCACGACCATACAGTGACCAGTATTCGCGTGTGATCATCCACTTGTCAGTTGTCACCTAACATTCCATGGCGGCGCAACCTACTAAGTTAAATTCGCAGGCATGGTATATCAATTACCATCGCCTTATAACAAATTAGGACGTCGAAGTTATTACGGCTTTGCAGATTGCTGACAGCAACAACACGATATCAGCAGTCAACGAACAAAACACTCAACTACGGCGCGCGGGGACTGCACCAGTACACACGACACTAACTCCACGGAACATGGAGACTGCAACAGTACACACGACACTAGCCACGGGGCATGAGACTGCAACAGTACACACGACACTAACTCCACGGAACATGGAGACTGCAACAGTACACACGACACTAGCCACGGGGCATGAGACTGCAACAGTACACACGACACTAGCCACGGGGCATGAGACTGCAACAGTACACACGACACTAGCCTCGGGGCATGAGACTGCAACAGTACACACGACACTAGGACCAAGGGGCATGGGGACTGCAACAGTACACACGACACTAACCGAGGAATATGGACCTGGAGACAGCAATAGTTCACAGGACACTAGCTACAGAACATGGAGACTGCAATAGTTCACACGACACTAGCCGAGGGATATGGAGACTGCAATAGTTCACAGGATGCTAAAAATTAAGGGGCATGGAGATTGGAGACTGCAACATCAACACTAACACCAAGGGACATGGGGACTGCAGTAGTGTACAAGATAGTATCACCACTAGAAGGAGACTGCAGTAGGGCACACGACACTATCACCAAAAGACATGGAGACTGCAGCAGAACACACGACACTAACACGAGACGCGGAGACTGCAACAGTGCACACGACACTAACATGATTCGCGGAGACTGCAACAGTGCACACTACACTAACACGGTACGCGGAGACTGCAACAGCCAACAGTACACTCGATATTAACATGAGACGAGGAAACTGCAGCAGTACACACAAAACACTAACACTTCTTGAAGAAGACTGCAACAATAAACACGGCACTAGCACTGATGCCTTGCTAACACGGACGTGGAAACTGCAGTAGTTCACACAACACCAACACAAAGAGACTGCAATAGCATGCAACCATAACACGCAATGGAGACTGCAACAATATGCCTACATGAGTTTGAGTCCATGGTGCAAATCCATGGTAGGTACCGCATCCCATGGTACCATGGTAATCGCACCATGGTGCGACTTACACACCGTAGTCCACACCCCGTGTTATAGTTCATACCTTATAATAGAATAACACGGGACGTCGGGGCAGATTCAGTAGTGCACACTACAGTAGCACCGTGAATTGGAGACTGCATTCGCACCGACGCATCAGCGGTCAGTTGGGTCCAATATTGCTCTCGCTCGTTTGCCGTTCAAAAACCGTGATACTGTTAAAATGTATTACATTGGAGAATATTACCAGCGCATCCTCGATTTACAGTGCATGTTGTGTTCACACGGCCTCAGGGCGATCTGCTGCGTCTACATATCGACAAAGAACAATTCGTCGTAGTATACTCATCGTCACTTTGCTTCAGCTGCCATATAGTAAAACGCGTATGTATTGGTGGAGCTCATACTTCTTGCACACTGCACAGCTTGAAGTTTTCTTGAGAACTTCCCATTCCATTGATGCGCAATCTCGTTAAAGCTGTCAAATATGTTTGCTTACTTTCTCACCCTGAAAAAAAAAAGGAGAAATATCAGTCGTGGAGGAACTTGGAAACAACGTCCTCTAACTCACCCACTCACTCGGTCACTTTTTCTGGTATCATTGGAAGGTTACATCCCTCTTTCGCTTCTTTTATGTTCCCTCTAAAAATCCTGTCAGTTCCATTTCTCTCCAATCTCCATTCCGCTCCCCATTCCCTCCTTCCCTCTTCTCTACTCTCCTGACGCCTTATCCCTCCCTTCCTCCTTCTCTCCTCCCTACCTCCCCTCTCTCCTCTTTCTTTTTCTCCTTGCCTCTCCCTCCCCGCCTCTCACCCGCAGCCGGGCACCAGCTCGCTGCTGACACAGGTCAGCGAGTTGTCGTCCACCGACTGGCTCGGCGGGCACTTGATGAGCCGCGGGTAGTAGTTGACGCACGTCACCAGTCGGTCGCACTGACCGGTGGCGAACCGGGGGAACTGACCGAACCGGATCGACGCCGAACCGACCGGGATCTGACTGGGACACGAGAAACCCACCAGGTCTGTGGAACAGAGGGAGGTCGCACGTGATTCGGGTCAGAGCGGGGCATTACGGTGGCGCCTGGGGGTGCAGTGTACAATATCGCAATCAATAATATCGTCGGTAAACGAAAGGGTACTAAACACTTGCACGGTTGCATCGTTTACCATGCATATTACCCCACATTCATGAACTGCAGTGCTTTGGGTCACATCACGTATTTCGGTGCCAAGGATTTTTAACTATACCCGTTTTACCCTGTACGGACCATCTGTTGACCGGTTTGGGTGTGTTTATGGTTAGTGGTTACGTTCTCGAGGGATCAATTTCAAGGCTGACGGGACAGCGTTTGACAGGACTGGAGAGGAGCATTGTCCGGTGTTAAATCTGCAATATACCGTGCTAGACACCGGTTTGATGGGCCCTGCGACACCGCAACAGTGCGGGATGACTTAATGACGCGGCTATTCAGCATCAGCCTCTAAAACCGGCGAAAGGCACATCAAAGGCAGCGGCATGGGCTCAGACGCGTCAGCACGTCTCCGGGTCTTTACGATATGCAAATGAGCTGTTGGCAGAGCTCGCCTCTCGTCCACTCCCATCACTTAGTGTCGGTTTGAGCGGCCTTCGACTGAGGAAACCAGCCCAAAAACAAACCATCGAGTGGGCTTTAAAGCGGTCGAACATTTTAACACGCGCACCGACGGGGGTCTGCGCCAACTTCGTACCGACGGGGGGGGGGGGGGGCGGATGACCGCCCCCCTGAGATCTCGAGAACGAAGCAAGATAGCGACAAGCGATAAACGGCAAGGGATACGCACGGACAAGGTCTACAATTTTTACTAAGGTCATTTTCAGGTCAGGTCAAAGATGACGTCACAGGGGTCAAAAAAGTCAAAATGGCGGCGCTAGGTATGGGGAGAGTTTTTCTCGAATAACTTTCGAACTAGTCAATATAGGAACAAACTAAGGGCATCATCGTGATCCTCTCGTCAATCCGCATCGAATGATATATATGTTGACCTCGAAAGGTCAAGGTCAAAGGTTGACCTCAGGTCACGTGACCTCGAGGTCATCATGTATATCATTCGATGCGCCTTGACGAGCTGAACACAATGAGACCATCCGCGCGGCTGTATTTTGTTCCTGTACGGAGTTATTGACAAAAAACCGCTGGTGACCTTTGATGACGTCACATGACCTTACAGCTGCCTAACAGCAAAACAGACCTCAAGGTAGTGAAGTTTGATCGTATATGAGGTCATGTATGGTTTATGGGGCCATTCCGACCCGTTTTAGTGGTAAAAACAGGGAGTTGATTTTTCCCCCATTGACTTACAATGGGGAGGTCGAGAAATTGACCTGACCTTAGGTCATCGATATCAAAATTCCGAGATGAACAAATTGTAGCTACTAATGACCTTATAACATCCTGCGACTTTCAAAGGCCTCCGACATCTACTGTAGCTCTGGCACGGTGACAAAGTTGCAAAAAAGTAACTTGAGGTTGGGTCATTCAAAGTGACCTGGTGACCTGACCTTGAAAGTTAGGAGGTTCAAACTTGCACACCATGTGTAAAATTAATGAGAGAATAGTCGTACCAAATTTAGCGGCGCTACGCGCCGCGGTTTTCCCGCTATTCGCGAAAAACCTTAGGGGGGCGGATATCCGCCCCCCCCCCCCTCGTCGGTGCGCGTGTTAATCTCCTTAGTCGTCCTGTGTCAAGTGACCAATAGGTGAATTCCTAAATCTGGCAAAACAAACCCTGGAGCACTTTATTTGAAATGTCGCCTTTACCACAACACCGACGGTTATCTGTAGCTGGACTTTGGTCTGACGGCTGTGTTCCAACGGCTGTCTCTAGACTACAGTCTACACTTACGCTCGGCGTCGCCGATGGAGCACTCTGGGATGAGATCGGGCCAGTTGCACGCGTGGTTCCGGTCGTCGTAGGCCAGACCCTCCTCACACAGGTCCGGCTCGGCCTCGCCGAACGCACACTTGATGGAGTAGTCGGCGCAGCCCTCTCCCGACGGGAAGATGCCGAAACTGTAGGGGCACGCGCCGTCGCGGGCCGGCGTCACTGTAAAGGGCGGCGGGCCGTTGCGTCAGAGGCAGGCCGGTGCGCGTGGCGCAGAAGGGGAAAGGTCACGGTTATGCTCCTTCGATGTTTTAGGATTCAGAGAAAGATGGCGGGCCTTAATCCGAAACCAACGGCAGCGTTGTTTGCTCGCCTCCGCCGATGTTTGAATGGTGAATACTGTTGTCTTCTTATAGCGCTGCCATGCATTTTACAGTATTGGCTGAGAAACTAGACTTCATTTGAGTCCCTCTAGCTTTTTGCCCGTTTTGTATCCTCAGTTATGTAACGGCCTACATTCAATAGATGCACTCCGTCTCCTATGCTAATGCGTTTGCGCAGCATACAAACGCTGATAAACACAGTAGGGGAGAGAGGTCATATTGCGCCATGTTCTTAAATGCGCCACACCTTCCCCCTGTCCAAAATTCGATTCGAATGAATG